TGCCCACGCCCCAGCCTGGGGCAGCCACGCGTACCCAGCCAGGCCTTGCTGGCCGGGTCGAGCTGGCCCGCCGCCTGCAACTTTCTTTTCCAATGGACAAGTATTCGTGCGCCTCTTCTCCCAACCGGGAGACTCCACACTGATGCCCTGTTTGGATTCCAAGCCCGGGGGAACCGAACCCTACATTATGGTCAGCCCTGTATTGGCTGAGCCAGGACTACCGCCTGAGAAAAAAAGAAAGAAGCTCATGATGTTGGTGCTTTTTGGCGATGCAAACTTTTTTTCTCTCTGGCGGATAAGTTTGGTTTTGTTTCTTAAAAGCAACTGCTGGGCTGCTGGGCCATTTCAGTAATATCATTCCTGAACGAATCTGGTTTTGGGATTCTAGGTGGTACTCCATGAATGTGGCCACTGGGGGAACTGCGCATGGTGGGCCTGCTCTGCCTGCAACCAGAGCTCTGGGTCTCCCCATGACCCCCTGGGGGCTCTGGGGAACTTTAAAAATTTTTCTTTCTTTTTCAGATGAAGCCAGGAAGCATCTGCCTGGCCCTGGAGGTTATGCCCCGTGGGGCTGGGTCTAAGGGATGAAGGTGGGTGGGAGGGGGAGAAGGGACTGCCACCCCAGAGGGTCACTGTGGGATTGTGTGCCTCTTGGCACCTTGCCAAAGCCTGGGAGGCCAAAAGCAGAGCAACCAATTGCTCCTGCTCCCTGAGGTTAAATTAAAAGCAAGGTCCCCACTCTCCAGGTCCTTGCTGGTAACTGTCCTTACCAGAGGCTGTTTTTGTTTCACTAAGTGCATCTTCTGCAGGGAGGGGCGAAGTAAGGCAGTGGCCACCTCACTTATCAGATACTGCCCTTACCCCCTGGCTGCCAAAGTCCCCCAAGATAACTGCCAAACATGGTAGCACCCTTCCTGGGACCCCGGAGAGCAGCATCCTTTTCTGCAGGTACCACAGGAGGTGGAATAACCCCCTACCTATCTGTCTCCACGGGGGTGTGGCTGAGCTGGGGATGGAGGGAAACTCAGCACAGGGGGACCTGGGCCCTGAACCCAGATACATTGGCCTGGGCACCCCAAGAAAGCCAGAATGGTTCTCAGACTGACCTCAAAGCCAACACTTTGTTCAAAGGAGATGTTTCCCCTTTTTAAAACCAAAGGAGAGAAATAAACTTCTCTGTCCTATTACTTGCGCTGGGGCAAGCAGAGTGACTCTATTAGGAAAGGGCTCAGGACACCTCCCATTATGGTTCCATGCCGAGTGGTTCATGTGTGGCCCTCCTCAAAGACCCCTCTGAACATAGCAGTAACCCCAGGGGACAAGGGGTGCTTTGCCTGGGCTCAGTCCAACTCTCCCATACCTAGCGCAGGGCACAAGCAGTGTTTTCTGCAGTAGCCACTGCCTGCGTAGATGAGGGCTTTTAGGTCAAATAGTTTGAACCACTGTATTAGGCAATGTTACCCGTAGCCTCTGCCAGGAGGGGGGGTGTGTGTGTGTGTGTGTGTGTGTGTGTGTGTGTGTGTGTGTGTGTGTGTGTGTGTGTGTAGGGGGGTGGTGTTGAGGTGCAAAGCTTCCAAATCCAGGACCAGGGCTGGAGAGAGAGGGGAGCTCTCCGCACCACCCACCCCCAACCCTTAATGGCGAGGTCTGAGAGCTGTTACAGTAGCTCCCGGGTGGAACAAGGGCGCCCACCCACGTGATCTCCCGCCCAACTCGGTTTCCGCAGCAGCCCGGCCTCAGCTGGTCGCCTGAGCGCGCGGGGCATTGGAAACGGAAACCGGAGCAGATGCGGGACAATCGGAGCCCGCCCCTTTCCTCCTGGGGCTTGAATTTCTTCCAGATTCGTGGTCTCGTGGAAAATTCCCAGGACGTGGCGGGATGGGGGTGGGGTACGGTTCCCTCGGCGAGCAGGCCGAGCACCCAAGCTCCAGATCTCCACCACCCGCCCCATTGGTCCCACTCACCTTCTGCCTGCGCCCAACCTCCCTACGTGAGCCGCCTTTTTTGGAGCTTGGGGGGTGTGATGTTCTGGGGTCCCGGAGTCCTCTGCTTGTGGAGTCCTCTGTTTGTGCCATGGACCCCACGAACTGCGTGCGCCCAGAGCAGGGGACCACGCGTGGCAGGTGTCCCAGCCTGTGGTCACCGCAGCTGCCCCTGGTCACTCCAATGAACCCTTCCTGGATACTTCTCCGTTCACAAGACTTTCAGACTTCGTTCTAATTGTGCCACACTCGGCCTGGTGGGTCCCGCTCTGAGGACCGCAGGCTCTCCCTCCCCAAGGCATGGCGTTCCACCTAAACTTCACGCAGACTTCAGGACCTTGCGCATCTGGGGAGATTCACGCTTGGGAACGCTGTCCCACAGCTGCGGGGAGCGTGAAATGCGGAGTGAGAAAGAATGGCGGAACCGGGCAGGCTTGGGGCCTGTAGGTGCCCCACACCGCTCCGCTTCGCCTTTCCAAGCTCCGCTTTCCTCCCTCCCAGAGCACACGGTTTGAACGTGGTTCGCAGATGCGGGAGCGGCGGCGGCCGCTCAGACCAGGCCACCGAGCTCCTAGGCGCTTTCCCATCCCATGGGGGGCATTTGGTTTTGGGGGAAAGTTTCCACTCTGCTGATTTGCCGGCTCTCTCCCACTCACTCCCACTTAGCCGTGTTTCCATGATCTGGATAATCCCTTTTCAAGCCTGGGCGGAATCCTCCGGGTCCCCAATGGAGGGCGGGAGGGAGAGAATCCTTAACCTACACAACGCGGCGCGGATTTGGGGGTGGGGTGGAAGTGGGGATGACTGCAAAAGCTGAGGCGGGGTCCCTTTCGTACCCTCAGCCCCAGCCTGCGCCCTCTCCACCAAGCCCCGATAGAGAAACCTGCCCAGCGCAGGATTCAGGGCGCAGGGACACCCTCAACGCCCTGAGCTTGGGCACTGCGCACCCGCGACGCTCCAAGGAGCACACTGCGGGCAAACACAGGGAGCGCCAGGATCCCAAACCCCAAGGGGAAGTGTGGGTTCCTCTGCCACGGAATCGCGGTCGAGACTGCGAGCGTTGGTGGTGCGGTGGATTTGGCGGGACGCGAGGAACGGGAGTGGGTGAGCACCGACAGGTTGGCTCACACTGCCAAGTCCCTGGAGCGGGTCTTCAACCGCCTCCTCCTCCCGCAGTGCCGGCAGGCTCCTGGCTTTCAAAGGGACCCCTGGGGGAAGCGGTGGTGGGGCCTTCCCGGTGCGGAGGAGTGGGGCTGTGCACGGCCGGGAGTGGTGCAGCCGGCTCCTCCCACGCCCAGGGAGAACGAGGGGGCGCCGCAAGCGTAAACCCCGGGGCTGGCTCCTCTGCCCGAGCCACCTCCGTCCGTGTGGCTGCCTCCAGGTTGGCCGCCACCCCGAAATAACTACGCTTCTGAGCTTGTCCCTGGCCCAGGGCGCCCGAAGAGCCAGCGTCCACACCGCGTCGGACGAGTTCAGACTCCTGGAAAGGGTAGGGGTTTGGTGACCAGCGCTTGGTAGGGGTGGGCGGAGGAATCGGGTCTGTATCTATGTTGGGGTCGCCAATCACGTCCAGGGTGACCTGGAGAAAGACAGAACACCGGGATGCGGTGCGTTTCAAACGGTGCTTCCCGTTCCATCCAGTCGCCTGGAGCCCGCCAACGCCGGCCGGGTGAGGCTGGCTCTGCCACGCTCGCCCCCGAGTGCCCGGCGCAGTGGGCCGGGACTGCGCAGCCCGCGCGGGGAGAGGCCCCGCCGCCAGCCTCGCCTCCCGAGCTCTCCCTCCTTCCGCCCGGCCCGCGCGCCCCCGCGGCCTCCCTCCCGGGGAGGCGCCGATCGCCTTTTGCTCCAGGTTAAAAGGAGAAAAGAGGGCAGACGGGTCATTTCGGAGCCTCGCGCGCCTTTCTGTGTGTGTGCGTCTGTGTGCGCGCGCGAGTGCGTGTTGCGGGGAGTGAGATCTCTTTCCCTCCGTCCTCCCCGCCTCCGGATCCCGGGCCTACGACTTGGGGACCGCCAGAGCGCTGGACCCCCGCACGCTCCAAGGACTGGGTCCTCCCGGGACAGGGCACTTAGCTGGCGGGTCGCGCCGCCCGCTCTCGGCCGAGCCCGCCGGTGACCTGGCCGCGAAGCCTCGGAGGCGGCCTGGACACCCCTCCCTCCCGGCTCGCTCCGTCGCTCCTCCCCGCGCCCCGCCGTGCGTCCAGGGCCCGGGTCCCCGCGGCGCGCCGGCCGCACTCACCGCGACTTCTCCGCGCCCGGAAGCGCGCGGGTCTCTCCGGGGTGACTCCCGGGGGGCAGCGAGGCGGAGGCGCGCCCGCGATTCCGGGGGGCTGCGGCGGGGTCGCACGCCAGATTCGCCGCCCCCACCCCGCCCCCGCCCGGGCCGCGGTCCCTCCCCCTGCGCGGCCTCCCCCGCCCGCCCCGCGCTCCGCCCGAAGGCGGGTCCGCCATAAACAAACGCCGCTCGGCCGCACGTGGACGGCGAAGCGGCAGCGCCTGGCCCCAGAGCGCGGGCTCGGCGCGTCTGCAAGCCGGCGGAGCGGCCCGGGAGAGCAGGAGAGCGCGCCGGGCTCCAGCCGGCCCGCGCCCCGCTCCCCTCGGCGCGCCTCCCGCTCCATGGCTCCGCGGCCGCCGCCGCCCCTGCGGCCCTCAGGTCCGGAGGGGCCTCGCGGCAGCGGGTGCGAATCCTCGGCGAAGGACTAGACGCCGCCACCTCCTCCTCATCCTCCGGGAGAGCCGAGACAGTGGGACCCGGGGAGCGGGCAGAAGCGAGCGGGGAGCAGGGCCGGCCCAGCCCAGGGCCGAGGCGGGCGGAGCGCCGGGCGGCGCCGCTGCTTTGCGCCGAGCCCCGGGGCTGGCGGCTGCGGAGAGGAGCCTCGCAGTGCCCGGGACCGACCCGCGCACCTGCCCGCGGCGCCGGCGCTCCGGAACCCCCTGGCTCCGCGAGGAGTCCTTTTCCGAGCGGGGGGCTCCGCGGGCCTGCAGCGCGGCCGGGTCTAATATGCCCAGAGCCGAGGCGCGATGAAGGAGAAGTCCAAGAATGCGGCCAAGACCAGGAGGGAGAAGGAAAATGGCGAGTTCTACGAGCTGGCCAAGCTGCTCCCGCTGCCGTCGGCCATCACCTCGCAGCTGGACAAAGCGTCCATCATCCGACTCACCACAAGCTATCTAAAGATGCGCGCCGTCTTCCCCGAAGGTGAGGCCGCAGGTGGGAGCCTGGGCAACTGGCGGCCTAGGCGCAAGAGGGAAGAAGCAGCCAGCCATGGGGCAAGACTGGCGGGGTTGGGGCTTCGGCGTCAACCCAGACCCCGAGAGAGGAGTCAACACAGACAGGCCATCCAGGGTCCGGTAGTGGCAAACCAAGAATTGTCCCAGCGACAGCGGTCAGTTAGCTAGTCCGTTTTGGATTCTTTCTTCCCTCCTTCCTACCTTTCCTTCTTTCTTTTTTTTCTATTTCGGGTCCGTTCTTTTTTTACTCCTTCCTTTCTTCCTTCTTTCCTTCCCTCCTTCTTTCTTCTTTTCTTTTCGGGTCCGGTCTTTCTTTATTCCTTCCTTCCTTCTTTTCTTTTCTATGTCCTTCCCTTCCTTCCCCTCTTTTCTGTTCCTTCCCTCTTCTCCTTTCTGTATCTTCTTTTCCTTTCCCTCTGCCGGTTCACTCTGCTTTGCCTTTCTCTCTCTCTCTCTCCATCTTTCCTTCTCTCCCCACCTCCTACTTAAATGCCCCTTTACATTTTTCCCTCCTCCTTTATCCCGAACAGTCCCGCTTTCCTGGAGATACTTTCCTTTGACTGCGCGCGCTCGGCTGCCCGGGAGGCGCAGGGACATCGCAGGCCTCGGGCCGAGCAGAGCGCTCTCGGTGTGTGCCGCCTCGGAGCGGGTCGCGGGAGATCCGGGTAGGACAGTCCGCACTCGGTGAGCTCCCGTACAGTCGGCAAGCGGGGGCGGGGACAGGCTTAACTGGGGTGCAAGCTCAGGTTGTCCGCTGTTAGGACCCCAGAAGTGCTGAGGGGGTAGGGCGCACGAAGGGAAAAGCCAGATGTGGGGGCTGCACACCAGCCTGGCACCCCCTCCCCCAGCAGCAGGCGCTGCGGCCTGGCTGTGGCGGTTTTGACCCCGCGTACGGTGCGCCCCTCAGGGGCCTGCGGGACGCTCCAGGACACCCGGGCCCAACCGCCCGGCTGCCGAGAGGGCTACGCAAGGAAAGGGAGACAGCTCCCGTTCTGCGCGTCCGTGGCACGGGTGACAGGTGTCCCTGGACCGCAGGGTGCCTCTCCTGACACCGGCCTGGATCAGGCGCTCGACCTTTTGCGTTCTCCACCAAACCAAGCCTGTTACTCGCGGCCGGCTCTGGGCTTCTCAACGCCTTCCTGGTGGAGCTCCAAGGGCCTGCAGCTGAGCCTCGGCCTGGGAGTCGAGCGCCGCCGACAGCGGTGGCACCCGGCCTCCCGCAGCTCGCGGGACGCACGTCCTTGCCTTCCTCTCCCGGAACTCCCGCGTAGTTTTCAGCTTTCCTGCTCAGGTGGGCAGAGGAAGCCCCCACCCCCACGCTGCAGCCCCTTGGGAAGCAGCGCTGATTCTTCTCTGGCTAACGTTTCAGTGGAAATTAACCGAAGAATTTGGTTCTGCGAGAACCGAGGAGTGGTTTCGCTTAACTGGTTTGCTTACCGCATGGTACAAAGCAGCTGTGGAAATAGGACAGTGCTTCTAACCCCACCTCGTTTGGAACTAAAAGGATAGGAAGAAACAATCAGGAGATAAAGTGATTCCTTACCAATGATTTAAAAGAAAAAATACATTAATTCGTTGAAAGAAGGGGCCCGTGCAAAGGCTGCTAATTGTGACTCATTTCTTGTTTGGGGGATCTTCAGGAGAGCGTACTGCTTGCCTTCAATCAACATTTAACTCGGACCTGTGCCTGCTGGCCCGGGGGCCAGTCTGTAGTTGTTTGGGCCAGGGTGGCTGGGTGTGTGCGGCAGTCCAGACCTTGAGCTGCTGGCACCTGCTCCGTGTTCCGGAGTGGGCCACCCTTGTTACCCGAGGGCTGGCACTTTGGAGGGGAAGGAGCCGCTTCATTCTGCAGTTTCGGGGATAGCCCAGCTTGTAACCTTGGGTTGCAGCACTGCTCCCCTCTGTTCAGTCTGGAGTTGGGGAACTGGATGCTTGGAACCCAAAGAGGCACTTGGAAAGGCACTGCGAATGAGTGTGCTTGTCCCGTCCCCAGCTCCAGAGGGCTGTGACACCAAAATTGATCTGAACCGTTCGGGAATCCTGGGTGGCAGGATGTGGTCCTGGAAGCGATGAAACCGGGCCAGGGCTGGGGAGGCAGTTTTAAGGATCTGGAGGACAAAGGAGCAGAACCCTGGACAAAGACAAATCTAAAAACCACTTTAGGATGCAGAAGTCAGAAAACACCCAGTCCCAAGAAGTCAGCACAGCCAACAGGCTAATGTCCGGCGACCTGGAACTGGGGTCCCGGTGGGGCAGCCTTTGCCAAGGTCCCACAGCCAGGACGAGAGCAGGCCACTCGCTTCGCCACCCCCAACTCCCCATGGCTCCTTAGACCCCAGCTCTCCAGAGAGAATCAAAAGGATGGAGAGAGAGAGAGAGAGAGAGAGAGAGAGAGAGAGAGAGAGAGAGAGAGAGAGAGATCTGCTCCAGGCAGCGGCTGGTCCTGAGCCACGGTGGACACCCTTGTACACAGGTCCTCTGCTTCTGGCTGCTTTCAAATGCTACTGCCGGCTCCTTGTTTATTAAATAGATTCCTGAGTACCTCGGGGAGCCTGCACAGGCTGTGCTATGATCAAGCTGTGGTGCAGGTGGAAGTCGTGGTCTTGATTCCCGTGAGCTCCCTCCCCCTGGCTGGGCTACGGACTCGACTCTGAAAGCCTGCCGCCTGCTGGGATTCTCCCCTTCTATAGCGAAGGAACTCTCGGAGTGGACCGGACCTCTTTGGAGCTAGAACCTCAGAGTGAAAATGTGTTTGTGGAGCATGGCAGGAAGTAGAGCGAACAGGGCTGGTGCTTTCCCTGAGTGGGCATGGGAGGGAGGAGGGGGAACGAAGGCAGTTTCCTTGGGTCCTGGATGTGGGACACCGTGTGGCATCTCCTGGACTTCATTGGCAGAAGGCTGACCTGAGTCACTGCCCCCAGGCTGGGGCGGGGGGAGGAGGGGGCGCATTGGAGACAGGCCTCCCTCAGGAGGGATGGTGGGTGAGGAGTGGGGCAGAAGAGGGGAAGTAATAGTTCCGGGTGACTGTGAAGGAGCCCAGGTCTGGGCACCCTCAGAGAGATGGGACTCAGGACTTGAATCTGAGTGAGTGACAGGCACCCCATTCCCGCACACACCTGGGCGCTGGAGGGGGTCGACGCCTGCTGGTTTAGAAATTGTCCCCCCCCCATTAAAGGAATTTGATTAGAAGGGCTTGCAGTAAGGAGAAACTAGCCACACACAGAAATCTAAGTTTTTGCCTTTTTACAAAACTAGAAACGCCTTCAACCCTGTCTCCCCACCTCTGCTTTCAAGACTGCAAGTTTGTCTCTCTCTTCTCCTCCCTCCCTCCCGCCCCCACCAAATCCGGGAAGCAAAGACAGTCGCGGGCCTTGGCGTGCGGGTTTGAGAAGGAAGGGTGCTTCCTGGACCCTGGGCCCTCGGAGAGCCTTGGCCTTGAAGGCGAGGTGCTACAGCACGCAGGTTCAGCGGTGCGCGGTCGGAGTCCAGGCCGGAGCCACGTCCGCAAGTCTGTGCGCGCTGTGCTCCAGGAGCCGGGTAGCTGCCGAGCGGCTGCGCCCCACACTGCGGAAGGCTTGGGCATCCAGTGCTGGCGAATGCCGAGGCCCCGCCGATTGTCAGAGCCAGTGCAGCAAGGCCTTCGGGCGGGCGTCACTTCACCACCGCCTGGAAGTGCGCGGAGGGAGTCGCAGAACAGCGACCGAGTTCGGGGCTCCCTCGGTCCAATCCGTAGCGGAGCGCAAACCACGGGAGAGCCTGGAAAGGTGGAGGAGGAGACCCGGCTGCAAACTTGGCCGGTGGAGCAGCCTGGGTCCGCGGCCCAAGCAGGTGGTCGCTCTTCAGAGGTCCCGACCTGCTCTTGTGTGGGGGAGGAAGAGGGCCACGCAACCCTGCCGTATGCCACATCTCCGCCTCCTTGACTTGAGGAAGGTTTCGCGTCCTGGGGTGGAGATCCCCGAGACTGGCTTCCTCACCTCCTCGCGTGCTGAGGGTGGAGGTGGGAGTTAAATCGAATCTTGGAGGGCTGGAGAGAGGGGGTTTCGTGGGAAAGCAAGAAAAGGCATTTGCGCATTTATGTAGTCTTCAAACGACCCCATTCAAGAGGTTGCCCCCCCCCCAGGCTCCCGCCTGGCTGGAGCGCACTGCGGACTGGACTGGCTGGCTCCAGCACCGGGAAGTGAGACACCCACCCCTCGCTGCTCCGCAGCCCCTGTCCATCCGCCTCACACACACAGACACTCCGTGGGTCCCAGCTGAGCCTCCCTGCGCCCTCTTTCCGGTCCTCCCCATCCTCCTCTCAGGTGGTTTCTCTAGGTGGCCTTGAGAGACAGGCCACTGGTTGTTCCTAGCCAATTCCAGGCCCGGGTCGCCACCCCGCCGAAGGTTCTCATCTGTGCGGTCCCAGACTTTCTCACCTGTGAGCCAGTGTCTGGAGGCACCCGCTGGGGGATGGGGGGTGGTTAACTGGGATTCTTGTACCAGAGTTGTTCAAGAGCTGTTTGTTGATTGACTAATGGAGAGTATACAGACAGGAGGGACCCTACTGTAGCAGTTTTGTGGGGACAGTGAGCAGAATGTATATACTCCCAAAAGTCTGGGATGCAGAGAGGAAAGGGGGGAGCTATCTAGAGAATGGGGGACAATATGGGCTGGGCTGCTTTCTCCCTGACTCCAGAGTCTCCATCTTGTCCTGTGCCTGTGTGCGGAGGGGGAGGGGGATGTCCAGCGTAGATTTTCTCCCGTCCTTTTTTTCTCCCGAAGAAATAAAGTGCTTTGCGAGGTCCAGCTGGGGGCCACCAGCTCATCCGCTGCTTTTGGGGCAGTGTGGCTCACTTTACAGAATTGAAACAGCTCCTTCGCCTGCAAACTCACCTTTATGTAGTCGCAGCCTTCAGCCCAGATTCAGTTTTTATGGGCTGAAGGAAAAGCCCTCGTCCACAGTGGTTTCTAATGGAAGAGCTGGCAGAGCCCCCGGGCAAAGCTGAGGTGATGGGGGGGCAGTGCGCAGGGAAACTGCCCCCGCGGGGGAGGGGGCTTTGGATAGGGGCGAGCGCCAAAGCTTCGCCAACGGGGTGTGGAGAGAGGATGATGGAAAAGGGACCCCATGGAGAGGGTGTTTAAACGACGGCGGATTTGAGTGCAGCGCAGGTCGCCCGCTGCACCCAACACGCTTTGGCCGGTGAAAGCAGGGCCTTGAGAACGAGGCGTGGTGCGGGGCAGGGGAGCGGCTTCACGGGAGCCTTCCCAAACTCTCGGAGTTCTCCCAAATCGTTCTGCCAGAACTGGGCACCAGGGCACCATGGGGGCAAGTTCGCGCAGTCCCGAGCCTGGCCCGACCCCAGAACCCCCCACCCGCCTTCACCTGGGAAGGCAGAGGGTCAGAGGGTGCATTTGTCCACGTTAAGGGGTGGGGGTGGGGGAGTAGAATTCCTGAATCCTTACTAAATTATTTCTTCACTGAAGCTCTAGCACTTTAATTTTCTGTCCCTGGTCGAACGGAGTCACCGCCACCAGGCTGCCCGCCGGGGTGTAGCTGAGGCAGGACCTGGGTTTGAGGGCGCTGAGCGAGGCGGGATCGTGGTGGATGGTTGAGTGGGATGGTTCAGTTGTCCTGGGATTTCTGAGACCTCACGAGCTGCTGCGGAAACTAGCCACTTCCCGTGGGGCGACCAGGACAAGAGAGGGAGGAAAACTGGGGGTCCGGCAGTTTCTGGGAAGGGTCTAAGGGTCTCCCCCTCCCGCCGGGCGGGGTGCGTTTTTCAGCTCCTAACACGGAGGCTTCCGGAAGCCGTGGGGCACCCAACCAGGGAGACTTTCCAGGGACCCACTGCTGGCTGTCCGCTCCGTGGTCGGTCCGGGGAGATCCCCGGTTCGCCCCGCTGGCCCATCTCCGCGCTCGCTCCGCCATCGGAGCCTGCGGGCCCACAGCTGGGAGCCGGGGCCTGCCGACCGCTCCCGGCCCGCGAGGCTGGGGCGCCGGCGCCGGGGAGGCTGGCAGCCTTTGCAGCTCTGCTTCGGCTCGGAGCTAGCCGCGAGCACAGCCACCACTGCGTGACCCGCCAAGCCCCAAGGGGCAGGGCCGCTGGGCTGAGGGCGCACAGAGAGGGAGCGAGGGTAGTTTTAGGGCAGGTGATGAGGAGGGGTCAGCCAGGGAGCGAGGAACTAAGGGACCCCCCATTGTGTGTGAGAGCAGACACCACCAGTTCCCCTGAAGTGTGCACTTTGCTCTGGAGGACGGTTTGGGGATTTGCTGGCAGCAGGGCCCTCCGCGGAGTGCTTCACGCGCGGTCGGGTTGGAAAGCGGCGGGCGCTCCCGGAGATCGCTGGGGAGAAGTGTTTGGAGCAGGAAAAGTCGCCACCAGCACAGCTGACGCTGTGTCACCGCGGTGCGGGGGAGGAAGGGAGGGAGTGAGAGGAAGGGTCCTTGGGGAAATTGTTAGGGGTCTAATCAATATCCCCCTTTGGCTGAGAGGATGGCCGATTTCAAAGCAGATTGGATTACTTTGTGGCATTTCCAATAGAAGTGCAATTTCAGAGCGGGGGACTGTGGGCCCGGCGGGCTCCTCGTGCGCACCCTGGCTGGAGGATAAAGCAGGGTTTCCTCCTCTGGCTTTTTTTCTTTCCTTATAGCTGAGGGCTGGGGGGCTAGGCGAGAAGCCAGTGGCAGTCTGGGGAGATCTTCCAAGCTACGGTGGAGGTGGGGATGAAGAGTGGGAAGGGTGCGGGCGTCCTGGACGCTGCCGTTCACTGGTTTGCTTTATTCCTCGTGCAGGTCTAGGAGACGCGTGGGGCCAGCCCAGCCGTGCGGGACCCCTGGACAGCGTTGCCAAGGAGCTGGGATCGCACTTGTTGCAGGTAGAGCCTCGCGGGCGCGAAGCACTAGGGCTGCCTTGTCAGCGTTGCCACTCTCACCCCGCCTCCAGTGTCCCATCCTCCAAGGGACTCCAGGCAAATCCAAGGCTGCAGAGGTCGCCTGGGGTCAACGGGAGTGGGGGGTCGTTGCGATCTAGAGAGATGGGGCTGGTCATCGCGCTCCACGCCTGAGGTACTGCCCCGCTCCAGCCCTATACCGACCCTGTGTCTCCCGCTGAAATCTGGGGACTTAGCCCACCCTAGACGTAGGGTGAATGAGGTCCATGGACGTGGCCAGTTCCCCCACCCCGGCCTCACTTCGCCCTAGCATCGTCCACCAGCACTGAGTAGGAATAGGAAGGCTCCAAGCCCGGCATCCGCTCTAAGCGCTGGGCAGCTGCGTCTGCTTGGTCGGTTCCAGGATCAAAAGACTACATCCGTAATAGGATCTTTAACAGTTGGTAACCACGGGCGAGATTGCTTTCAAATCTCAGCTGTGGTGTCTCTCTGCTCGCTCACCTCGGGTGGGTTCTAGGTGGAGCTGTAACTCTGTTCCCCCACCCCGACCCCAGGGGAGGAAGTTGAGGTCCAAGGAGCTTAAGCAACTTGGGTGTGCAGACTGTTTTCACGCTAGCGGCCATGCTCCTATTCGGCCTCTGGGCTCACTTGGTTCTGGCAGGGCTGGAGCTCAGGGGCGCTGTGCCCCCTGCCCAGAGTTTGCCACCTGAAAGCGCGGCTTGAGCACTGGGGACGCCTGCTGGCTTGCACGCACACCGGGCCACTTCCAGGTTGACCAGCGGCTGGCACTGGCCGGATTCACGGAGTCCTAAAGTGCGTTCTAGAGCCTCTTCAAGCCCCCCATTCATTCCGCTCCTCCTTCTCTACTACCAAAAAATGCCTGCCCAAAGCTAGTTTGCATTTCGACCTTTTCGTTGTGTTTGCTCTTAAAGCGGTCACCCCTGCGAGGGACACCTCGGAAAAGTAGATCTTTGCGAATCTCTAGAGTGCCCCAGCACCCCCCCCACACACACACCGTAGGATTTCGTTTAGAACGTGCTTGCGCGTTGCAGCCCTGTGGGGAAGGGCGCACCGGCATTTTGCGTGTTTCTTTGCTCAGGGACCCCAAAGTGCTGCCGAAATCCTGACCCGCAGCGCCCTCAGTCCCGTTCGTTAATTTTGGAGCATGCGCGAGGATGGTCAGCTGGAGCTAGGAAGACACCCTGGCCTTCTCCGTTAAGAATAGTATTTTGGGGGAGTTGCTGCGGGCAACCTTAAGAATTTAACTCTGATTTTTGAAAAATCCTTCACTCCTTGCCCTAGATACTGTAAGATGTGTATTCTGTGAACTCTGAATCCATAACGATTCTGGAACAAAAGGAGTAGGTGGAATGTGCCAGAAGGTTTTCAACCTCAGAAATGGCTGAATAGTTCGTTTCTGAAAAGCACAAGTTTGGTACAGGAAAGTAACTCCTATTGGCGCAGGAAGCAACCTGAAAGTGAGACTTTTCGGCGGGTGGAGAAAGGTAGCGAGGGATTGTTTCCTTGGCAGAGTATTTTTGCAATAAAAGTGTTGGCAGCGGCCAAAAGTCAGGTATCTTTCAAGTTTCACTTCCACTACCTTTTTTTAGTGCCCCCTCTCCAACGTCAGGCGGGGACTGTTTGAAAAACCAAAGGTGATCTGGATTCAATTATATGCTGTAAAAATAGAATTTGTGGCCAGAAATTAATTTGGAATATTTTTATGGGGGCAGCATTGTGGGCTGTACTGGTCTTTCACCGACTTTCCTGTGGTTCTGGAGTTTTAAAAAAAATAAAAATGAATGGATAAATAAGGGTTACCTTTTCCAAGATTATTTCATCGGTTTTGTCCTTGATGTCCCGTAACCACTACCTTTGTATTTGTCCTCCTGACCCCTTATAATTTCACTCCGTGTTTTTAAGCTGACACAGGCAACACTGGCAGTTTCGTTGCAATAGCGTTCCGTTTTCAGAAGTGGCTTCCTTGAATTTGACAAAGGTTATTTGATCTGTTAGACATTCAGAATAATTAATTCTGTAGACACACAAGCCTGGTTAAAAAAGAAATAACCAAGTTTCCTGTTTTATTTCCTGGGGAGCGATAGAGTTCAGACTTTACTACAGAAAAGTAACTAGGGGGTCACTAGAAAATTGTGGCAAATAAAGCCTTCATCCTAGTGGTCCAAATTATTGCCAATTATGCCATAAAATGGTCTGTAGAGTGGCCGATCTCCCCCTAAGTGCCATAGAACTCCGGATTTGTGCTAAGTGCTAAAATAACCTCAAACAATAAAGCTACTACATTTCAAGCAAGCATGATAGGAATTCTCAAATGCTTTGCATGAAGTGTGTGTGTGTGCGCGCCCGCTATGCTCTAAAAGCCTTAGAGTGCCTGACCTGGGAATTAAACCTTGAGTGTGTTTCTTAGGGTGCGCTTTGGGGTGAAGGAACGTGAGTGTTCTTTATCCTGGGGATTCACTCCTCCGGCAGATTCACCACCAGCTTTAACTGCGTTGGCCTCTTACCCTGTGCTTTGTCTTTTGGCAGACTTTGGATGGATTTGTTTTCGTTGTCGCATCCGATGGCAAAATCATGTACATCTCTGAAACGGCTTCTGTACACTTAGGCTTGTCCCAGGTAGGTGCCACCTGCGCTTGGGGTTAGAACTGGAATAGCCAAGGAAGTGGTGGTGTGTCTCCACAGCCTTCCCTAGCAGGAAGGTGAGTCTGTTGTAACAATGGAAGATAATCCAGAATTGCCAGATCTGCTCAGGGTGTCTCCCTGAGGGTGTGTGTGTGTGGTGGGGGGGCGGTGTGTTATTCTCAATGCATGCCTTACTTTTTCCTTTTGGGGTTCAGGGTCAGTGTATTTTTGTGGCATTCGTGTCCGACACACCTGGGCTACTTGCTTAATGTTAGGTGCCCCCTAAAAGAGCTCTCCCAAGGGAGACTTGTCCATCTGTACACACCGGCTGCTATGCCGGGTGCTCGCTTGCCTAGCTGTGCAGTGAGAGGTAAGTTGATGTAGCCGTGGATTTTATACGGAGTGTGCCTTGGGGAGACCCCAGGGGAAGTGGGAGATTTACGAGTGTTCCCGTGGAATTCAGGGTCGTTTTGCCGGAGTTGTTCCAGTTCAGCAGTCGTTTCAGTAAAGCATTTTATATGCTTGTGATCGAAAGCCATAAACCCCGGTTTCCTACTGTTTTTGCCCAGCAAGGTTCTGGTTCCTTTAAAATATCTAAAGATGACCGAATTTCCCGGATTGAGGAAACTGTCTGCTACAAGGGAGTTGGTCGTTCCCTGAGCGGAAAGTGAACCCAATTTTTACCCATCAAGCCAAGAGTTTTAGAAGAGGAATTGGCTGTCGCCAGGGCCCCCCAGTGGCGCGTCCGCACAGCGGGGAGCCCAGTGGATGGTTTGCATTCTAAAAGTTGCCTGACTGTTTCTTTACGTGCTGTGATTTTTTTCCCCTACAACTGAAGACACAGGGGAGTTAGTTAAAGATGCCAGGAGCAGCTGCAGACTGGCGTCTGCCTTGTGCCCGCTTTCTGGTACGGTGGAAAGCGAGAGAACTTGCCAGTGAATATGGCTGGAAGATTTGTGCTGAAAACCAAAGTTACCAAATTTGGAAATCTGCATTGGATATATTCTTTGTCTTCCTCTTGCCAGTGCCATTAAAAGAGAGAGAGAGATATCTTATCATTTATTTACGATTTTTCTCTTCTGGCGTGTTAAGTGCCTTGTCCGTGTGGGTTTGTAAACCCCTATGAAATGAATTTGGTAGGAAAGCTGTGTGGATATTTCTCTTCTCTCCTCCTCCTGCTGCTGTAGGGAAACTGGATCTCACAAATATAGTCCGTGGGGTTTGGCCTTCACACCTGCATGACTCATGGTCATGGGGTAGAGTTGTAGGATGGGAAATGCTGTTGAGAATATGAAATTCACTGTGTCCACGATTTTCTTTTTTAATTTCCATCTTGCCCTATTTGAAATGTGTCTGGCCTTCTTCAGTTCTACCCGAGCTGGTTTTTATTCTTGAGCTGACACATGAATGAATGCCCGGGGTTGCTTATTGCCTTTTTGTTTAAGGTTTATAAACCCTTGGATAGCCTTATGATGATGTCAGTAACCCAATGCAGTGTTGTGCATACCTTTAAGATCCCTGGGCAGAACATGGTTAAAGTACGTAAAGTCAGTCATGCCAAGTATTTAATGTAGATCTGACCTCCCTAGCAGATCAAGCCAAAAAACAAAACAAAACAAAACAAAAACTCTGCTGTATGGTTTTTGTTGTCTGGTAGGGTAGACACTGAACCTTCCAGAAGCATCACTTCAAGAAAAAGATAATGCTTGCCGAATTGGGGATCATGGCGAGAAATGTACCCAAGTGGCCACATGACTTGATTGACAAACCACACACAAACTGGGCAGCAGTGTAGCTTGATACAGCAAAGGTGCACATAGACTCTGCTGGTGGCCACCTCTGAGAGCTGCCTGGCCACCAGGATGGCCCAGCAGGTCCTTAAAGCCCATTGACACATGCTGAGGCAGCCTTGATGGGTTGGACAGGCTGCTCAATGAGAGCATACTATGCTTGGCTCTGTCATTCCGCCCGTCCCCTCACCCCTGCCAGTATTGAGGAGAACAGTAGGATGGCTTGATTAGGAACACAATAATTGAGAGTATTGGCTAGGTGACAGACATGTCCCCCCACCCATGACAACTGTCCAGCAGAAGTGCGTGCATCACGACAAGTTAGAGTGTTCTGTTCCCCTGTGCTGATCATGCAGAAATAAAACCTGGTGTCACCACCCACGCCACCGTGCCCAAGGAAACAGAGGGTTCCCAGAGAGAAGGATAAGGCAGCTGATTGCATGGAACAGCGCTTGCTTTCCCTGAACGCTCATTGGCATCAGCCCGTAACTACAAAAACACTTTCTCATGGTGGAGTCTCTCAGAATGTCTAGAAGCATTTTGTGGTGAGCTGGTTAAAGAAGCAACAGCAGACTTAACTTCCTTATGGTTCGCTTGTTGTCTTGAAGAATGAATGCAGCAGAGTGAGTAGGGTGCGCCACTTGTTCTTGCTCTTTTTTTGGCATATTTTTAACTAATTTTGGTTCCAGTTTTAGTGTATGTGCTGCCGAAGCGAGCACTTTGACTGCTTTTGATATGAGTACAGAGTCTTAAGCTAATAGAGCAAACATGGAAATGTGATGAAAATGGAGCATTTATTTATTTAAAAAAAAATCACTGGAGAGAAAAGTGTTCATGAAAAAGAGCAACGTTCGGAACAGGTTTTCTGATGTCAGTGGCGGCGGCACTGGCCCACGCATGCTAGGTATGCTCTGTTATAAGAACTTTCCATCGCTCTCCATGGCATCATCTCAGGAGGGGCCAGTTTCTCTTGGTGAGTCAGGGTTGAACTGCTGTTAGAGGTTCCCAGGAAAGCCGAGCCTTGAGGCCTGCCCGCAAATTCACAGTGCCGTAGTTTGTGTTTCACTTTGTTTTGGGCCTGAACTATCTAGCTGGAGTGTCTGTCTGAAGGTGTAAAGGTGTTTCTTTATGTTATAACCCCAACTCATGGGAAGCTTTTTATTAGCTTATTTGAAAGACAGAGAGAAGGGGGGACAGAGATTATCCATCTGGGTTGCTGGTTCAGGTACAGACTGCTCGGCTTCTGCTCCCTGCCGGTGCGCTTGAGAAAGCAGCTAAAGATGGCACAGCCCTTGGGCCCCTGCATGTGGGAGACCTGGAAGAAGTTCCTGGCTCCTGGCTTCGGCCTGTCCCTGCCCTGATCGTTGTGTCCACTTGAGGAATGACCCAAGAGATGGACGATCTTTCTCTTTTTGGCTCTCCCTTTCTCCTTGGAATTCTGCCTTTCAAACAAATAAAATAAACCTTTTAAAAAGAGGTATTATCTTCTCTCCGCTGGCTCACCCCCAAATGCCCACAACCGCCATGGGTGGGTCAGACAGAAGAACCCAGAAGCCAGCGGCTTCATCAGGGGTTCAAGCACGTGGGCCATCCTCTGCTGCTTTTCCATGTACAGTAACAGGGAGCTGGATCAGAAGTAGAGAAGCTGGGATGGAAGCAGCACTCGTATGGGATGCTGGCAGCTTTACCTGCCCCAGCTACTCCTCAATGTAGGCATCTTTCCTTTTTATTTTCCTCAAGTGTTGGAATAAGACGCCTACTTCATACCTACTTCGTATGAGTTTATGAGTTTATTTTTGCTTTTGAAGTAGGAAACAAATGATCGTTGCTATCTACTTTTGATACTTAAAAATTCACAAACCACAAAATTCAAACTGATTCCTTAAGTCGGAGCCCAAGTGTTAGGAAGTAAAGGTGTGTGGTGCTCAGTTTCTGTTTGATGAATGTGTACCCACATGAGCACACACACGTGCTGCGCCCTCCAAAACGGCCCCAGCTGGAGAAAGACGCTGTGCCCAGGCCTGTCTGAGCACTGATGTAACTCCATGTCTTCCGATCAGCACAGTTATTTGACTGACATCTGAGGAAGGGAGGGAAAAAGTCCTGAAGATCTGCTGCATGGGCAACTTCAAAAAGTTCATGGAAAAATGAATTAAAATGTTTAATGGTGAAGAATATTTTGAAACCTGTGCATGTTTTTCATGATTCGCGTTTTTCACAAGCATTTTATTAATTGCTTAAATATCTAGACTTCCAAAAATATTTACACCAAAAATAAAAGTATCTTCTAATTCCATTTGCCATAGCTTTTTTTTTTAAGTGCCTTATATATTTTCACATGTCCTTAAAGTTCCAATTTCCTTACCAAAGTTGCAACCATGACATAGTATTTAAGGAGCCGATATACATTTTAAAAATAGATACAGATAAAGATGCAATTGCTGAGATGCAGAAAGAAAAAAGTGACACTTGAGATGCTGCAGAAAAAATCAGAACAAACATAGACGTGGAGAAGCACTTGTGGGAGCCAGTGCAGACGAATCCTTTTCACTTTTGAAATACATAGGAAGGACAGCGCGTTCTGTGTTGACATAACTTGAACCCTGAAACTCAAACCCACTTTCTTTTAAAACGCTTAATTTATCCTACTCAGAAAAACACCCCAAACAGAAGAACATGCAGTTTCTCAGTACCCAATGACTCTGTCCTTCCACACAGAATATATCCATTTATCATCTGGAGTTTTCTTGGCAGGAGGAAAAGCCATTCAGCAAAACATAAAAAAGCTCTTAGTAGGAAAGTCATTCATTTTGTAGTTAGCGGGGTTTTACAAATACTAAAATATCACATCGAAGGTCTGTTTGAATAAGGTCTGGAGAGTTTTACAGTGCCAACCATAATTTAAAATTAAAAAAAGTTTTTCAGTGAGGCAATCCCATACATGGATAGAAGTGTACACACAGCGTGCACCGGTCAGTCCTGCTGAGCACTGGCTGGTCACCCCCTCCTTTTACACAGCCTGGGGCGCTCGCCCCCCTTTTGAAAGTGCCCTCCCCAGCACTCTCAGTGTCTGGTCTTTTCATGCCCTGGTTGCCTGCGACAGAATGGCCACTTTGAAAACACCACCGCTCCGTGGGGACTGAAATGTGGGTGATTCAGCTCCGATAGGTACGCATGCGTGCCCGTCTAGCTGGTGTACGTGCGGGCACGCCTAAAAGTGCGTAGAAGAAATGGAATTAGAACAGATGTTTATTCTCACTCAGAAACCTTGAAATCCATGCCAGTGTTTTAATCAAACACATTTTCCAGAAAGTCTTCAGAAGATACCCGCTTGCATGAGAGTGTAGGTGTTTTAGTATCACAATAAATTTGTCTTTTAATTCTGTTTTTGTATGACTTTTTAGATACGCCCTGGTGAGATGAGAACTCTGAAAGGACATCATTTGCCTGCTTTTTTTCTCACTGAAAAGCAATTTCTAGCAAATGGAATGATCATTATTCTATGAATCTGTGGAGAAGGAAGAATGATTGGCCAATTTTCTTTCTTTCCTTTTTTTTCCAATTTTCTATTTTGTGCTCTTCCTTCCTTTCTTTCTTCCTTCTTTTCTTTTCTTTCTCTCTCTTCCTTCCTCCCTCCTTCCCTCCCTCCCTTCCTCTTCCTTCCTTCCTTCTTTCTTTCCTTCCTTCTTCCTTTGTAACCTGTTACAATCAGTGCCTTCTGAAGCTAGCTCTCTCATACATGATGCCCTCCATCACACCCATTTTCCTGATGTGGAGAAAGGAGGAACCCAAAAGACGGCCTTCAGTGAGGCTGGCAATCTAAGCCGCTAAGGAGGAATAGGCTTCAAAGAAGACTAATTGCTTTTTAAAAGATTTTAAAATTTTTACTGGAAAGGCAGATTTACAGAGAGAAACAGAAAGATCTTCCATCTGCAGGTTCACTCCCCAAGTGGCCACAACAGCCAGAGCTAAGCTGATCCAAAGCCAGGAACCAGGAGCTTCTTCCATGTCTCCCATGCTGTTGCAGGGTCCTAAGGCTTTGGGCCGTCCTCTATAAGCAGGGAGCTGGATGGGAAGTGGAGCAGCTGGGACATAAACCAGAGCCACAGAGTGGAGGGTTAGCTTGTTCAGTCCTGGTGCCGGCTCTCAAGAAGACTTTTTTATCCCTTATTTTTAATGTACTCCTGTTAGATACTGGGGTCTAGCTAAGCCCTTGGGGTTCAGTAGGTAGTAGGCGGTAGAATTTTACTCACTGGATTCTGTCTGTTCTGGATGTGTACTGTTGGAAAGACACATTCTATGAATAATGCAGAAAATGGAACGGTGATAGCCATTTGGTGGGCCAGCAGTGTCATTTTATTTGGAGAAAGGAGGGCCCGGGAAAGCAGTCGAGGACGGCCCAAAGCTTTGGGACCCTGCACCCGCGTGGGAGACCCGGAAGAAGCTCCTGGCTTCGGATTGGCATAGTATTGGCCCATTGCGCTCACTTGGGGAGTGAATCATCGGACGGATGATCTTCCTCTCTGTCTCTCCTCTCTGTATATCCACCTTTCCAATAAAAAAAATAATAAAAATAAATCTTTAAAAAAAAAGAGAAAGGAGGGCCACACCTGCGTATTCACCTGCTGGAAGAGTCAGGGGTTGGAGTAGCAGGGGCCGCTCCCCTCCCTCCAGGACTCTGGGAGAGCTGGGTTGTGACCGTGCCTGGGACTGCTGGGCTGTGCCAGGTGGCACTGTGAGGGCTGCCCCTGTCCTGGGTGACCTTGTATGTCCCTTGCCTGTGGCCACCACTCTCCAATGAAACCTCTGCTGTGACACACAAGGACCAACAGCGGCCAGGGGTGGGACACTTTGCACAACCTGCTCATGCTGTCTGAGGTCATCCTGTGACACACTGGACTTGTGGGGGAGAGACAGGGACCATCACTGCTCCAGGGGTCCCATTAATGATGGTAGCTCTAAAAACATGCTTTGGTGGTAGTGATGACTTCTAGAACATTCTATGCCAAGGTGGCTGAGAGGTGTGCCTGAGACCTGTGGCCTCCTATCATGTTGGGGAGAGCTTGCCAGGACCTTGGGTGCAAGGTCAACTGTGGCATCTTCCGGTCACCTGTTCCTGCTCTGGTTTTTCTGCAAGGTGCGGCAGTGTCCAGAGCTCTGTGGTGTGGTGCGGGGCATTGTCAAAGGTGTGGGATACAAGCCGACCTCTGTGGGGGGCAGAGCTGGGACACACCTTGCCCACCTGCAGCCAGTCCTGGAGCTGCAAGTGACATTTCTGTCCTTTCTCCTCCTTCACCACGGCAGGTGGAGCTCACAGGCAACAGTATCTACGAGTACATCCACCCCTCCGACCACGACGAGATGACGGCTGTCCTCACGGCCCACCAGCCTCTCCACCATCACCTGCTCCAAGGTATTTCCTCCCGGCCCAGAGAAACCACAGAGAATATAAGCCCTCGTTCTTGAACTTGACCTGAGGGCTTCCCACGCCTGCCAAGGGGCTGAGGTCTGAGGAGGACTGCCCAGTGCAGGGCAGTCCTGCAAGCATTAAGCTTAGCTTTGAAGCCTCTTACCATCCTTCTCCAGCCCCTTCCCCCATTTCGCATTAGGTAGGAGGCAGAAGTGACCCAAAGCTGTTCCCCTAATGGGCTCTTGATTTAAAATATTGGGGTATCATATTCCAGGGATAGGACCCCTGGCAGGTGTGCAATTACTCGGGTCAAATTCCATCCAGAATATCCAAGCTGAAATTCAGCGCTTCCCCTGCTCATGGCTGTGGACCATAAACCATCCTGAATGACCAGTTCCTGTGGTCCTGCCAGCCACAGGCATCACGGGCACTTCCTCTCACATGGAGACTGTAGTGGCCATTTAAACCTGGTGTTTACGCCTGTGGCTGCTTCAGGATTTGAGCAGTGTATGAGACCTGCTTCTGAATCATGTTCTTTAGTAAGAAGGACCAAGTTCCTATCCATGTCATGATGTGTACAAGTAGCTTGATAATTAATTTGCAACATCAGCAGGTTTTTTGGTGTGAGTGGCTGTTTTACAGGTTTTATTTATTCATTTTAAAGTCACAGAGAGAGAGGAAGAGAGAAAGAGGGAGGCATTCCATCTGCTGGATCACTCGCCAAATATCTGTGTCAACCTGGACTGGTCTGGACCGAAGCCAGCAGTGCCTAACTCCCTCTGGGGTCTGCCATGGGGGTGGCAGGGACCCAAGGGCTGAGGCGTCCGCTGCTGCTTTCCCAGGCGCATTAGCAGGGAACTGGATGGGAAGTGGAACAGCTGGGTCTGGAACTGGTGCTCAATTGTATATGTTTTATTTTGCACATATAACATTATACTGTCTGTGGGGTTTCCATCATGGCACAAATCAGAGAAGAAGCCTTAGTTATTACAGATGACACTGTAAATTACAGTTGCCTGGAGAGTGTCCTCCAGAGGCCATGGCCACCTCATGCCCCGTAGCCTCTCCTGCGGGCAGCAGGCACCTGCATGCATGCTTTGGCTGCAGTGCCCAGCTTGGCAACAAATCTCCAGTATAACACAGTGCAAAGAGGGCCTTTCTTTTCTTTTAAAAATTCATTTATTGATTGATCGATTGGAAAGGCTGAGTCACAGAGAGAGGAGACGCACAGAGAGAATTTTCTGTCTTCTGGTTCACTCCCCAAATGGCTTGAGACAGCCAGAGTTTGGCCAAGCTGAAGCCAAGCTGAAGCCAGGAGCCCAGAGCTGCCTCTGTGTCTCCCACATGAGTGCAAGAACTCAAGCACTTGGGTCACCCTCGACTGCTTTCCCTGGCACACCTGCAGGTAGCTGGATCAGAAGTGGAACCGCCAGGACTGACACCAGTGCCCATGTGGGATGCTGGCATTTGGGGTGGAGACATAACTTGCTATGTACAACACCTGCCACCAAAGAAGACATTAGGAGTGACTGTCACTAGGCTAGCTGGGGCTGCCTCCTGGGAGAGTCATTCTAAGGCCAGGCGGAGAGTCTGCCATTGTCACACCTGTAAACAGGTGCAGTTCTGTGTCACCTGGTCTGGCTGCCAGGATAAGTCTTGAAGTGTAATGGCTCATTGAGATGAGGTACAGGTTACAGGGCAGCCATGGCTGGGGACTCAGTGTATTATGTCTTTCTTGTTCTTCAACCTGCACCATGCCACACCTTAGGGCAGTCTACATTGTCCTGTCTGCCCTGGTTCTGCTTTCCTTTTCCCAAGTCCTAACCTAAGCCAATGTAGCTGGGGAAGATCACGTGACCTCCCGCCTCAGGTCCTGTGAGCTGCCAGCTGGAGCTCAGGTGCAGCACAAGAGGGGAGAAGCCAGGGTGGCATTATGGGGGTTCCCTCCATTGCTGGACAAGGGATGCCCTGGTTCTGTCATACTTACACATTCACAGGGTTTATTGTCTTGTGGTGCCTGAACAAACTTCCCTTGTTTTATGGCAAATGGATGAGACCTCAGCAGTCTCCAAAACTGGATGGGTCATGAGTTCAGGATGGTTTTAGGCCACGCTCAGGGCTGACCTGGAAATGTTTCCGGCAGGTAGCCTGCCATGGGGGGAGTTGTGGCTACAACATGGTGGCTGCCACAGCCAGGGCAGGAAGCCGGCTCTGTAGGCAATTCCCTGCCTGCCACAGGGCATTGCCCTTGGAGAGCGAGCTGCCAGTGCCAGTGCAACAATTCTTTAAAGGTTGATTTATTAACCTGCGCCGAATGGCTGTTTATTTGGATCCGAGCGCCCCTGCGCTGGCCCCAAGGTGTGTGCCCTGCTTTGTTGGGGACTCATTTACATCTACAGTGGGGCTTGTGACTGCCACCTTAGGAGGAGTCAGGTGCTTCTGGCCTTCATGGTGGCCAGGCAGTTATCCTGGTGGTGCAAGGCGCACCTCCGTGGGACTGTTTGTAACCACCTCCTTGGGACCCTGGAAAGCCACACCAGGCCAGGATCACTCTTTCCCGTAGTCCCCACCCAGACCTCAGTCCCAGGTAGGTAGATCTGTTCTCTGGGCAGGGTCTGGGTACCCAGGGAGGCCCCTGGCTGCAGAGCTGGCCCTGGGAATTCCTGGATGACCTAGGGAACTGAAGGCAGGGGGTGCGACTGGCGGTTGCCGATCTAAGCTCACTCTCGCTTTCAGAGTACGAGATAGAGAGGTCGTTCTTCCTCCGGATGAAGTGTGTCTTGGCAAAGAGGAACGCGGGCCTGACGTGCAGCGGATACAAGGTAGGTGGCCGGTGGAGCGAGGAGGGAGGACTGAGGCAGGGCCTCTTGCTGTGTGCTGTCCATTCTGCTTTCTGCTGGAGATCAGAAGGCAGGGCCCCAACCTGCCCTGCCCATTAGGTCAAACTTCCTAGTCACACCACTCACCAGGTTCTTGAGGTCACCATGGGCCTTCAAAAGGCAGTTCCAAATGGACCAGCTGACCAGCTGCTCAGAGGTTTATTGAGAATGCATGTCTGTGGCCAAAGCCTGGGCCTGGGGGCAGCATTTGGAGCCCCAAGGTGCTGCTGTGACCCCAGGGACCCCAGTTCCAGGCTCACAATGGTGATGGGCTTGGCAGTGACTCCAGAGCTGCCCCAGGTACAGAGCCTCTCCTGCAGGTTCTCATCTGATCCACCTGGAACCACAGCAGCCCTTCCAAGTCCTTCCACTTCTGGTTATGAAAGCAATTTCATGTATTGGAAAGGCAAATAGAGATCCTCCATCTACTGGATTACTCCTGCTTGCAACAGCCAGGGCTGGGTCAGGCCAGAGCTAGGAGCCAGGAGTGCCATCTGGGTCTCCCATGTGCAAAGACCCAAGTCTTTGGGCATCACAGGCTGCCCCCGACATGCGCATTAGCAGGAAGCTGGCACTGGAAGCAGAGCCAGACCTTGGATGGGATGCAAGGGGTTTCTGAGGTACATCTTAACAACTGCACCATTGCGCTGCTCTGTAATCTGGGCCCGGAGCCAGCGGAGGGAAAGGATGGCACTAGGCTGGCCTCTGGGCCTAGGCTGCATGCCTCTACCATTCTGGCTCCTTCCAGAATCCAGGGGGACGGCTGGGCATCAGCGTCAGTCGGCTGCTCCCACAGCACAGGACAGCTCCCCAGCTGCACCCTTGGCAGCCTTTGCTGTCCCGTCCCTGCTTGGGATTCCCTGTCCCTTCTCCAGGGCACTCCAGTGCTGTCCCCCACTTCCAGGGAGAGGACTTCTGCCCGCAGCCCTGGAGCTGAGGGCTGCTAGGAACTGTCTAGGAGTGTTTGTGCCTGAGAAGGGAGGCAGAGGGCGTGAAGAGGGGCCACTGTGCTGCTTTTCCATTGTCTCCTGTTCCCAACCCTCTGGCCCCTCCAACTCCACAGTTCCAGGCCTCCCTTCCTCCAACACCTCTCACCTCTCCATCCCACAGTCTGATTTCTCTCCCCCTGCCTTTTTTTTTTTAAAGATTTATTTTTATTATTTTTTCATTGGAAAGGCGGATATACAGAGAGGAGAGACAGAAAGGAAGATCTTCCGTCCGATGATTCACTCCCCAAGTGAGCGCAACGGCCGATACTATGCCGATCCGAAGCCAGGAGCCTCTTCCGGGTCTCCCACGCGGGTGCAGGTTCCCAAAGCTTTGGGCCGTCCTGGAGTGCTTTCCCAGGCCACAGGCAGGGAGCTGGAAGGGAAGCGGGGCTGCCGGGATTAGAACCGGTGCCCATATGGGATCCCGGGCGTGCAAGGCGAGGACCTTTAACCACTTGCGCCACTGTGCCGGGCCCCCGCCTTTTTTTTTTTTTTTAAAGATTTATTTATTTTTATTGGAAAGACAGATTTATAAAGAGAGGCGAGACAGAGAAGATCTTGTATCTGCTGGCTCACTTCTCAAATGGCCACAATGGTTGGAGCTGAGCTGATGTGAAGCCAGGAGCCCAGGAGCTTCTTCTTCCAGGTCTCCCGCATGGATGTAGAGTCCCAAGGTTTTGGGCCATCCTGCATTGCCTTCCCAGGCCACAAGCAGGGAGCTGGATGGGAAGTGGAGCAGTCAGGACACCAACCAGGGACCATAGGGGGCCCTGCACTTCAAGGGGGAGGATTAGCCAATTGCGCCGTTGCATTGTCACCCTCCCTTTGACCTTGACTTCGCTGCTCTGTTATCCCAGACGATGAGGAGTGCGTTTTTTTCTCACTGTCCCAAGCTCTCAGGTTCTTTGGACCAGAGTGGGGAGCACACTCCATCCCAACCCCACGATGGCCCTGCATCTGCCAAGACACTCGAGGATTGACTTGTTCCTGTCATTTGTTAACCTAATTGTTGCCTACTTGTGAGCTAAACATGCCACCTCATCCTCAGTTACTTCATCCATCAGAGGGGAGAATGGACAAGAAGGATTTTAGGGCTAGAGTCTGTGACCACATGCACAAATCTCAGCAGAAGAGTGTTTGAGAATTTAAGGCTGAAATTCCAGCCGCTTGCCGTCACCGCAGCTGTGTCATCACTTCCAGTCATGAGGCTTAAGGCCTTGCAGGTGTTTCTGAGTGATGTAGGAATATGTGTGTTCCCTCCCATGTGGCTTTTGGTTAAAACAAGCAGAAGTGCATCTGTACAGCCATTCTGGCTTATGGCTTGTAAGGAGACACTACCATCTTGAAGTGTTGAGTCAATATATAAAATATATAAATATGTTTAAAATGAAAACATTTCAAAATCAAACAATCCACTGACTCGGCAGAGCATGCCAAGTGACACAGGTGTCCAAGTCGATTCTGGTGCAGTGAGTTAAGCCACTACTTGTGAGGGTATGACCCCGGATCAGAGTGTTGGCTCAGGTCCCAGCTACTCTGCTTCCAGTCCAGCTCCCTGCTGATGCATCCTGGGAAGGCAGAAGATGTTGGTCCAAGTACAGGGGCCCTTGCGACCCACATGGGAGACCGGGATGGAGTTCTAGGGTCTTAGTCCCAGCCTGACCCAGTCTCGGCTGTTGTAGCTACTCAGGGATTGAACCAGGAGACAGGGGATGACTCTGCCCATTTTTCAAGTAGCTCCACAAAGTAAATCTTAAAAAAAAAAAAAAAATCACTGGCACTGGACGGCGGGAAGCATTGTAGTCAGTGCGATTCCTTCGTTGTGTTTCTGCTCACACTGCAGCAGGGTCCACGGTGTAGGAAGCCATCACGTATTAGCCCTAATTTATAGAATTACTTGTGCATGGCCAATTGGATTGCACAACCATAGTATGCCATTACATCTGATTAATGAATGGGGCGTGTATCAGTAGAGGTTGAACTGCGGAATATTCTAGCACCTTGGAGAAAAAAAAATGAGCCATCAGGAGGGGGTGCCAATCTAAGACCCAGGCTGTTAGCACTGACCTTGCCCTTTGCTCTCCCAGGTCATCCACTGCAGCGGCTACTTGAAGATCAGACAGTACATGCTGGACATGACCCTGTATGACTCCTGCTACCAGATCGTGGGGCTGGTGGCTGTGGGCCAGTCGCTGCCGCCCAGTGCCATCACCGAGATCAAGCTGCACACTAACATGTTCATGTTCAGGGCCAGCCTCGACTTGAAGCTCATCTTCCTGGATTCCAGGTGGGTTTGGCTGTGGTAGGGTCTGCAAGTCGCCGGCAGTGGAACTTGGCCCCTGAGAGCTGTGGTGGGAGGGCAAACCAAAACAAGGCACTAGTCAAACGAGGAAGTTGCATTAGAAAGGGCAGAGGCCGGCACTGTGGCACAGTGAGCTAAGCCTCCATTTACAGTGCCAGTATCCCATTGTGGAGCAGTGGTTCAGGCCCCAAGCTGCTCTGCTTCTGATCCAGCTCCTTGCTAATGTGTCTTGGAATCAGCAGAAGATGATCCATGTACCTGGGTTCTGGCCACCCAGGTGGGAGATGCAGATGAAGCTCCTGGCTCCTGGCTTCAGCCTGGCCCAGCCTTGGCTGTTGTGGCATTTGGTGGGGGGTGAATCATTGCAGTAAGATCTCTCTCTTTGTCTCTCTCTTTCACACTTACACACATTCTCTCCTTTTCAAATAAATACATGGATATTTTCAAAAAGCGGTTTTAGCACACAGCTCCCACCTGCTGATCTCCCCAGCTGGGCCAGAGCTGACGCAGGGAGCCAGGATCTCCTTCTGCGTCTCCCATTGGAGCAGCAGGGGCCAGCGACTTGAGCTGTCACGGCCACCTCCTGGCGTACATACTAACAGGTCGCTGGAATGAGCTGCAGAGGTAGGACTCGAACCCAGGCACTCTGATACAGATGTGGGCGTCTTTGACCAGTAGGCAAAATGCCCACCCATGCTGTCAGCATTCTGTCTCCTATTTCTATCAAGCTGGGAGGCCTTTGAAACCAACAAAAAGTTTTCATGCAGAGAGAGCAGTGTGTGAGCAGGGTGGAGGGACACCTTGCCACTGCGGCTGGTATGAGCCCTCACTGCTGGGCTGGGGCCGGGCTCCATCTGCGTCTGGGTCAGGAGAAGGGGCTTCACATGGGATGGCATGGCAGCATGCTAGCTAGGCCTGGGAGAGGATCTGCTGGGGAGCCCTTCACTACCATGGCTGGGGTCTCCCTCAGGGCAGGCCTGGGGCTTCACAAGTGATTTTTTTTTAATGGCCAAATAATAGCCACATAGATTAAAGAGGTGCTGTGTGATGTTGTGATCTACCGACAGTTGACCCCTGTGTCAACTGACCAACCTCGTATCAGACACATCGGGACTGAATTGAACAGATCTTTTCTTGTCAACGTTCCCTAAGTTTCACAATTCTCCAAGTATTTGCCAAGGTTTTAGGTTGCCTTAAATATTTTAAAACATCTAGGGAACATTTAAAGCATATAGGTTCTTTTCAAAAATCAAATGCGTGTATTTATTTAAAAGGCAAAGAGCCAGGCAGACATTTTTCATTAGCTGGTTCACTCCCCTACACCCCTAAAACCTGCGACAGCCAGGACTGAGTCAAGCTGAGGACAGGAGCCAGGGACTGGAGCAGGCCTCCTATGGGGCAGCACGGACCTGCTGCTCGAGCCGCCATGGCTGCCCTCCCACTGGTGCGCAAGTTAGCATGGGGAGAGGAGCCAGGTCTCCAACCCAAGCACCCTGATGTGGGAGACTGGGGTCCCACGTTGGCAGGTTAACGTGCTGAGCTACAACACCTGCCCTGCACCCCCAATCACTGAGCAAGACCGTGCAGAGGAAGTTGGAGGCACAAATCCCTTGAGGTCACGGTCACTGCACCGCAGAGCTGCTGAAGGGCAGAGAAAAGACAGGCCTGGCCTTGCAAAGTGGCACTTGTCCTCCTAGAAACTCCAAGCCAAGAGTGAGTCAGTCCAAGTGCAACCGTTTGGGTGGTGGCGGTCTGGGGGTGGGTGGGGCTGCTGGCTGGGACTGGTGGGCAGGGGTGGCCAGCCGGGCGATGTGCGTCAGAGCCCGGGTGTGCGGTCACAGGGGACGCACTCCTGACACAGGAGCCACTTCCGGAAGTCGCCTGGAAGGAAGTGAGCCGTCCTCGGCCATTGCTGAAGAAAAGTGGGGAGGGGCCAGCTGGGCTCTCCCTTTGTGGTCTCCTAGTGATTTTCTGATGGTTCTACAAAAGCCCCTTGGGGGCCCCAAAGTCAGGGTCTCCCCAGAGGACAGAGGAGGTTTGTTGGAGTCGTTGGGTACAGATGGCATTGAAGTGAGGCGGGCAGCCGAGGGAGGAGGCCAGCTCACCTTGGGCTGCTGCCCACAGGGCACCTTACATGCATCTTTCATGCTGTACCCCACAAGAGGGCAGGAGGGAAGAAGGGTGATGATCTTGAAGGAAGCTTCTGTCTCCCCCAGAAGTCTGCATCTCTCCACTAAGAGTTGAAAGCTTCTAGAAAATCTATAGGGGAGCTTATAGAACTTGTCACACAGCAGGGACATGAAGGCGGCCAGAAGCATGCTGGAGTGTTGTTCAGCATCCAGTGGTCTTCAGTCTGTTGTGGCTGCGATGTTCTCAAAAGGCCATTGGACCAAGGGAACAGGGGCCCTGGGCTGGTTCTACAAAGCCCCCTTGGGGGCTCAGAGGAGAGCAGTGGTCAGGTGTGATGGGGACATGTTGGGGACATGTTGGCTTTTGGGGCCTGATCCCAGCAGCTGCGGGGAGGGGTTGGCAGGAGCGAGCTGGCCCCACAGCCAGCTCAGTGACAGATGCAGCTAAAAACCTAACCTGAAATTGGGCTCCTAGGACCTTTGCGGTATTTCACTTTGAAACTGGAGCCGGCACTTGTGCGAAGGATGGGTGAACCGCCTGTGTCTGGGGTTTGGCAGGTTCCATCGACCCGTCTTCAGACAGTAAAGGTCTGCGGAAAAAGAAATGAGGGTGTCCCGCCAAAGTCTTGCCTTTCCCTTTAATTTTTAAAGCCGGCGGGTACTTAAAGAAATAGAATCCGTACGTGTTCCTGACTCGTTCACACATGTGGGGCTGTCGCTGTGCTGCTCATGTCAGGAGGGCCTGGGACGTGGCTTGCCTGCCCACCACGCACATGCCCGCGTCCTTCTATCTTGGGAAGACAGCAGAAGGCTCAATTCCTTCCCCACCCCTGCCCTGGACTGGTCCCTTGGCTGCTCCTTGAGCCCTGACTGACTCTCTGCCAGGCAAGTTCCTCTCCCCATCCCCACCTCGGGCTTCCTACCCCTTCTTCCCGGACAAGAACTCCCGGGAGACACCGTTCTAGGGGAGCCCTTACAATGCAAAGCTGGAGCAGAACTGACAGAGGCAAGCAGGCTAAAGAATGAAAGTGGGGTCAAGTTTCCCTGTTTGATTGACAGCCGCTGTTTTGCGTCCTGGTCAGCAGAACCCCCAGTTGCAATCACGCCCCACTGCAGGCTGATTACTCAGCTGACTCTCATCTCCCTGGACGAACCCGCTTCATCTCTCTCTTTCATCCGCTGTTGGGTTTCTGTCACCGGGAAGATCAACTCCACCTCTTCCTAGGGTGTGGGCCCCTAGCCACGATGCCAGGGCCACACTCATGGCACTTGCAGCTTTCACCCATGGACCGAGTGGCCCTAAGCCTGCTGATGGTGTGGTCCAGGATGCCCAGGAGGGCCACTTTGCTTCAAAGAGCCAAGGCGGGAAATTAATATGCCTGGGGCTCGAGGAGAATAAAGAGGGACTGTGTCACTTAAGCCCTGGGAAATGTTCCCACTGTCAGGGCAGGTTTACCTTGTAGTCGGGGCATTTGGAAGTCTCCCTGGGGGGCCTGGTCTATGTTTCCCTTGATCCTGGGCTTAAAGATCTCCAGTGAGGCCTAATTCCCCTTAGCTGGAATCACCCAGCCGCCAGTGTCCAGAGCCCAGCTGTGCTAATTAACAGCATCCGGTGTGGAAGGGATTGGAGCGCTCTCACACAATAGCCAAGATGTGGAAGTGAGCCAAGCATCGCTCAACATGGGAACTGCACAAGTACAGTCGCAGACACGACACTGACAGACGATAAAATGGTACCCCCTCACAGGAAAGAGGCCAGATCGCAAGGGCCACAGACTGTCCCCTCTGCTCAGGATGGGGCCAAAGAAAGTAGAATAGCACATTCCAGGAGCAGGGGAAGTTAGTGTTCAGTGGGCTTGAAGTCTGTTTTTCTTCTTAAATATTTATGTATTCGGGGTTGGCTCAATGGCTCAGTTGGCTAATCTTCACCTCTAAGGGCGGCATCCCATATGGGTGCTGGTTCATGTCCTGGCTGCTCCATTTCCAGTTCAACTCCCTACTTGTGACATGGGAAAGGCAGTGGAGAATGGCCCAAGTTCTTGGGACCCCGGAACCATGTGGGAGACGTGGAAGAAGCTCCTGGCTCCTGGCTTCGGGTTGGCTCAGCTCCGGCCATTGCAGTTATTTGGGGAGTGAACCAGCAGATGGAAGATTTCTCTCTTTCCTTCTCTTTGTAAATCTGCCTTTCCAATGAAAATAAATAAATCTTGAAAAATTATTTGTTTGAAAGGTAGAATTACAGAGAAAGAGGGAGATACAGAAAGAGAGAAATCTTCTGATGATTCACTTACCAGATGACCGAAGACATGAGCCTGGAGCAGCACACCATCTCCTGCATGCTGGGCAGGGACTCAAGAACTTGGGCCATCTTCCATTGCTGCCCAGACACATCAGCAGGAGCTGGACTGCAAGCGGAGCAGCCGCGACCCACACTTGTGCCCGTGTGCGATGCCAGCTTGGCAGGCAGCAGCTTAACCCACTGGCCTTTGGGAGCAGTCCCTGGGCATGGGGCTTCTGTGTGTGGGAAAGGGTGGTGGCCATGATCGCCTTACTGTGTGAGCAGAGTCACCGGCCCTGCACTGCACCCACAGTGATGGTTCAAACAGTACGTTCAGTACCATGCCTGTGTTTTACCACAATAGTTTGTAAAAAGAGTTTGCCCGGGGCTGTGCGCCACAGAAAGATAATTCTCTCTCTCTGGGGAAACTTTCTCCCAGCATCAGATTCCAAGCTCGCTCTTGAGCGTCCCCCGGCTAAGCTTGACCTTGAATGAGGCTGCAGTTTGAAGCCATCCCAAACACACTTTTAGCCAGCGGTTTCAGAAGAACATTCCTGCTCGCGAATAGCGCTACATCCTGGCCTGGGCGAGAGTTCAAAGGCTTTCTTCTTGTTAAGGAAAAAAAAAATAAGATCATTCTCGACTTCCAAAATCAACATCCCTCCGCCCCCCGAGCCTTTTAGCACTTGATTAGTTGGCAAAACTAATATTAGTTTAAATGAAAAGTAATCTGCAGAGCCGTGTGACTCACAGAGCCGCCGTCCTCCCCCAGGGTCACCGAGCTGACCGGCTACGAGCCACAGGACCTCATCGAAAAGACACTGTACCACCACGTGCATGGCTGCGACGCCTTCCACCTGCGCTATGCACACCACCTCCGTGAGTAGCGCCCCCTGCCGGCCGGGGAGGGCGTTCTGGATGGGGGGGCGGTTGTCACTGAGCGTGTAAAGGAGTGACCCATCCCTGCTAGAACCCTAATGCCGCAGGCAGGGGCTGCCTCAGAGCAGCGAAGCACCCCGTTGTGACTTGTAGACACAGAGGGACCAGGGGACCCCAGCCAGGCTTGGCAGAGTTCAGTGTGGCTTGAAGATCCCCTCCCCTTCCCACCCTCATGGGCCCCAGATCTGCCAAGTCTCCCCTCTCCAGGATTCTGTAGATGTGACAGGAGGGTGTGGCAGCAGGCATGGTCTCAGCCAGCATGTTGGGACTATAACAGAATGCCCAAGGCAGGCTGAGCTTGTCAAGGAAAGGGGTTGTTTGGTCCCTCCTTTGGGAGGAATCACAGCCCAGGATGGGACAGGCCCCCTGCTGGTTTGGCCTTTTGCTGGCAGGGTCCCCAGTTGGCATGTATGGCAGTATGTCTCCTTCCAAAGCCACCTGAACTCAGTCACATGCACCTTACCCCAAAGACCTCATGCAAGCCATTTGGGTCCCAAGGGCCTCCCCAGCAGACACTGTAATCAGACTGAGGTCTCACCTTCTTCATGCCGTTAACTGCAGCTTCTGGGGACCAAAATCCAATCCCTGGCTGGAAGTCTGTGTGCACCTGTGGGGGGCGGGGGAAGGGGTGGATTTGTTTTTTATGTTCAGGCCATGGGGCCAGCATCAGGACTGCAAGGGGCCTCCTCACCCCCCAAAAAAACTGGCCGTGAGTGACTTAGAGCTGGTACTCATGCTCTCTGCCAAAGCCGCACTCCCAGGGGAAAACGAGGGGGTAGGCTGTGTGGCTTTTAGAGAATTGGGCTTTGGGCCTCACTGTCCTCCCCAGGAACATGCCTGGGGCAAGGAGGTCCCCCTTCCAGGTCTTCAGCTCCTGGTACAGTGGGAGCCAGGGAACAGGCAGAGCCCTCAGAGGGAGTGTGGTCTGCTGGCTGCTGCTCTGGGCAGCTGGCGAATGCCCCAGAGAGAAGTCCAGGTATTTGTGACCTCAGCTGAAGATGGTGCCGCCCCTGGCTTTTTCCTGCAGCTGGTCACAGTGAACTCTACCCATGCCAGGCCCCAGGAGGGCAAGCAGGCTCGTGCAGGTATAGGCTGCTGGAGGCCGAATCAGGGTAAACCTCCCCACAGCCTCCTTTAGATTGTTCACCTCCCTGGTGAAGACCACCTGGACCCCCTGCCCCATCTAGCATCTCTTCCATGTAGAGACCTTGCTCTGGGGAGCTGCCCCTCCCTGTCTGGGGGGCCAACAGCTACATCCTCCCAGCAGGCTCATCCCTAGGAGAGCCAAGAACAGGCAGCCCTCCCCTCTGTGTTCCCAGCTGGGTGCCCATGGCCGTCTCTCTTTTGAGGATAGGTGTCCACCTGCTCCTGGGGCCCCAGAGCCCGGCCCAAGTGGCTTGCGTACATGCTGCCAGGCAATGCTGAGCCACTGGGTCAGAACCAAGCAGCGTAGCTCAAGCTGCGGCCACAGATGTGGTTCTCTTTGGATTCTGGGGGCTGGGCTGTGTCCCCTGAGGCCATTCCCTTTTGCACGTGTCCTTGACTCCTCTTCCTGCAAGGGCCACAGGCTGTGTTAGATTAGGGCCCCCATACTCTATTTTAGCTTGATTCTTTACAAGCATTAGCTCCAATCAGAGGTACATGCTGGGGAACTGGGGCCTTTGGAACATGGACTGCGGTGGGGGTGGTGCCCAGTTCAGCTCATGGCAGGGATCTTCTGTATTATAAATTTGTTTATCTGAAAGACATGGTGACAGAGAGAAATCTTCCATCACCCCCCACAGGGCCGTAATAGCTAGGGCCAGACCAAAGCCAGGAGCCAGGAACTCCATCCTGGTCTCCCGTCTGGGGTGGCAGGGAACCAGGGATTGAGCTGCCTCCCAGGTGCATTGATGGGGAGATGGGACTCGAACCAGGCACTCTGACAGGGAGGCTGCACTACAGTGCCTGCCCCACGTTCATTCTTAATATCCAAAGTCCTCAACTGGCCTGCCTGCCAAGGTAGGTGACAAGTTAGAAGATGGGATTGGGCTGCACGAAATGTGGGGTTCTGGTGACAGAAAGGAGGGCTGCTAGGCCGGGGCTCTGCATCCCAGCCTCCTTCCCCGGTGAGATCCCCTGGAGTCCATGTGGCTGCCTACCTCACACTCAGGCCCTTCAGTCCTGCCACCTGCAGGCTGCCCAAGAACTTGGCTGCCTCCCTTGCACTCACCACAGGTGGCTTCAGGGACCCATGGCTATGGCGGCCCTCCTGTGAGATGGACAGACACCCCCAGGTTAGCAGCCGATGAGGCCTTGGAGCACAGGGCGCAGGCCGGGGCAAGGCGAGCTCACCATCATGTCGTCTGGCTGCATTTTCACAATGGAGCCACGGCCATGGGCTTTGTGCAGGTCTTGTTGGGCATCCACCAGGGCTCCGGAGGGTTCCTGATGCTGGAGTGAATCCCATGCCTTCTTCAGGATGTTGTCCTAACCGGAAACACAGGCCATGGGCTGCAATGCCAGCAAGGCCCCCAGAGGACAAAACTACAGCCTTCCAGCAAGGCGGCCCCAGGCAGGGTGAGCTGTTCCTAGGACTCCTGAGGGCAGTCGATGAAAAAAAGAAAAGAAGAAAGCCCAGATCCTCAAAAGGGCTTCAGCCACCCCCCTTCTGTACCCTACCCCAGCTCTTTCCCTGCCCTCTGCTCGTAGCGGCTAGGGCAGGCCCCCGAGAAGCCAGCCAGAGCCCCAGGGGCCTGGGCACCGCAGCTGGGCCCCCTCAGCTCCCACTCTGCTGTAGGTGTTGGGAAGCTCCTGGCCCACAGGTGGGCAGGTGAGCTGGCAAAGTTTGTACCTGCCCAGAAGGTGGTAAGAACAGGCCTAGCCCACCCTCCACTAGCTGCACAGGTGGGGCGTGGTCAGAGTCAGGAAAGCTGGCCGTGTGTGTTGAGGGACCCGGCATGGACTGCTTGTGTCCCTGTGGTCTGGAAGAAGCGTGATGTCCACGTGCTGTTCTTGCTAAGTGGTAGCAGGGGCCCACCTGCTCGAGCCTTCACCCGCTACATCAGTGGGAAGCTGGAGACCAGAGGCAGAGCACTCCGCCTTGGGACGCAGACAGCTCAACAGGCACCCAGCCCTGGGTAGTTTATAAAGAAGCAGAGTTTGTGTGGCTTAGGTGCTGGGAGCTGGGTTGTCCAATGTCAGGGTGCTGGCACCTGGGGAGGACCTCCTGGCTGAGTTGCAAAGTGGTGAGACAGAGAATGTGCCAGCTCAGGTCCCTTTCTGTCAGAGCTACTGACACGATCGTTGGGACTATCTCCCCAAAGACCCCCATCTCCAAATACTATTGATATAGGAATTTGGGGGTGAAGGTCACATATGTGAAATTTTGGGGGACACCTTGAGACTGTGGTGCTACCGGAGGTACTCTGAATTATAACACCAAGCCACCCCTGAGCATGTCAGTGGGCACATGTGGGACTCGGCTGGTCTGTGGGCACTTTCCAGTGCAGCCATGGGGACAGGGCCGAGGTCGTGGCATTGAACATCGTGACATCGAACGTCTATGGTGTTTCCGAAGCTTGGGGCGGGAGCTTGGAGCGACGGTTCAGGGGCTGCCAGGCACAGCTGCTGGCCGTGCTTGGCCCTGGGTGGAATTGGATGATGAACTGTGGCTCCTGCTTCTCTCGACTTGTCCTTGCCAGCAGTTGCCTGGGAAACTGTGTGCAATGAATCAGGAAGCGACAGCATGCACGACCCAGTCCCCGGAAGCAGGTGTAAGACAGTTATGGATGTAGAGTGTCCCTTCTGCTCTGTATGGGTCAGCCTGCCCCTCAGTGGGTCCATGGCGCTGTGGAGCCCTTGCCCATCCTGCCCTGGAGGCACTGGCCATGGGGGAAGCTCCTGGGAGATGCAGGTGTATCGGGAACTCCAGAAGGAGCAGGATGTTCGGTTTTAGTGTCACCCGCCACGTTCACACCGAGGCCACGCCTGGTGGAAGAGACGGGGCCTGAGCCAGCAGCTTTTCTCACTCTGGGGCGATAGACCCTTCAGGGCTGCTGGAGTGGAAGTCTCCCCACAGTTGAGCTCAGATTAAGGGAAGGGTTCTTCTTGCTTCCTCCAGCTCTCTGTGGCCACAGATGCCCCCGGCTTATAGCTCCCTCATTTGCACCCCGCCTCCTCCCCTCTGTGCCTTTGTCTCTGCGGACACTTGTTCCTGGATTTAGGGCCCGGTTGGGTGACAGCAGTTGGCCTCAGCCTAGGATCCTTGACTTGATGAAGCTTTTCAGACCAGCTGAGGGTTCTGAGGGTTAGAACGTCAGGCCAGTCTTGGAGGAGGACACCATTGCGTCAGCTCATGCCAGGCAGCGTTGACATCCGTTTGTCCTTTACAATTGTTAAAGTCTGTAACAGAAACCAGAGAGCTGAGCTAAGGTCCGGAATCCACCTTCCTCGCTGAGTTGGCCTCTGGAGGCATTGCAGGGGAGCAGGGCAGGCTGTCTGCTTTCCTGAATGGTACCCAAAGCACCTCAGTGTTCTGAAAGCAGGGCTTGAAGCCAGGATCATCACGGTCTGGGTAGTCGGAGTCGATGATGATACTGGAGATGGGAGCGCATGCAGGTGCCGAGGGGCAGGGCCTCCCCTGCAGGGACCTCTCGGCCTTGTCCTCCCTGTCAGTGCCTGGAGAAGGACCTTGCCCCACAGCTCTGCAGCCAGTTAGAGCAGGCAGGCCACCGGCATGAGTGCAGCACAGCACGGGGCGCTTTGAATCAGTGTCTAGGATTCCGGCTTGCATTGCTAGGAGGTCTCCTGCCATGGCTCACGGAGAAGGGGAAATGAAAAGTTGGGTTGCCTGTGTCTGTCTGGTCTCTGTGTCTGAGCTGTCATCACAGCAGAGTCTCCGAGAAAGTTGCTCCACATTTTTTTCCTCTTTTTTCGTTGTGTGTGCGGTTTGACTCTTTCAATGTTTGGGATACACTGGATTTGTTTTGCACAGCTTAAGGTGGTCACAGAGAGGTTGGAGGAATGTCACAAGTAACAAGAGGATGCTTAAAGGACAAGATAAGGAAAAGGGAAGGTGTAGGATCACTTTGGCAGGGGCTTGGCAAACCCTGCCAGGCCCCAATTTCTGATCTTCCCTGGGGTTTCTGTTAAAGACAGCACGCGTGGCATCTTGGAAAATCCATGTGGGGCTGGCCTGCCTGATCTTGTTACATCTCTCCATCATTTTGGAGCCACCAACATGTGAACTGTATGGCTCTGAGCCTCCCTTCACCTCTGTAGCCAGCTAGAGAACTTTCTGGAAGCCGCTGCTCTTTCTTCCACAGAGAACCCCTGGCTGGGGGCCCTCGGTCCTCCAGATTTGTTGGCCCCAGTCTCATAGTGATGTCATCATAATAGTAAGATGGGGCCAAGTAAGTGAATGAGTCAGGCTTTCATTAAACTCACTCTGTGTGCAGCGTTGGAGGCCCAAGTCCAAGGCCGTGCAGCCCCACTGGTCTACCCGCTGGCGAGGGCAGTAGATAACATTGCCGGCTACTTACGTGATCACAGCTCAGGCCAGGAAGCCTGGGGGATGGCTGATGGGTCCCGACTCGGCAGGTTACACAAGGTCAGCACTCCCAGGGCTCCAGAGGACTCCAGGGCCACCCACTGGACCCGGTCTCCTTCAGGTGCCAACCCCTCCCAGTAGCACTACCCTCGGCGGGGGGAGGGACATCCACTTTCCAAACCGCTTCAGTGTGTAGCAATGAGAGCTTAGAGCTCTCATTGTTGTTGTTGTTAAAAATGCAAACCTCAAAAGGAGAAGCATAGTTCCTCTCTTTCCTCCTGCCCCGTTTACCTCTTTAGCGTGAATCCTGTTTGTGTCGTGATTCTGTTAGATGTGGGTCAGGAAGCAGCTGGCCTGCATGCTGTCCGCAAGAGGCCACCTCCCCATGGCAGGATGGGGAGATGGCCTTGGGCATCTGAGCTGCACCCCTCAGGGCAGTGCAGCCCGTCTGCTTCCTAGCCCCTATGCCAAGGAATTTCTCTCTCCTTGTAAGACTCAAACCCTGCTAGAGAACGACGAGTCTTCTCCTGCCTGCTCTGCCTGCAGCAGATCCCTTTGTCTGAAGTCTGGGTTGACCCTGGTAACTTGCAGAGCATTGATTCCATTGGATCCCAGGGATCCGAGCCGTGCATTGTTGTCCAGAAGGAACACGCTGATCCCTTAGCACAGCCACCTAGGATCAGTCAGCATCATCTGCCAGGACGGAAGTAGATGAAGTCATCCAAAAGGAAAGGAGCCATTTGAAGCATCCTCTGCTGGTTTCTCAAGTGCACTAGTCAGGGAGGAAGCTGGCTCACTCTTGAACCAAAACCTATATGGGATGCCAGAGCTGCAGGTAGTGGCTCAACGGGCTCTGCCAGCTCCAGCTCCACTCTCGTTTAAACAGTATTACTCACGCCATTGCTGGGTGGGAGTTTGGGGGATGAAAATTCTGTAGTGTCATTTTGGAAACTAACAAGCAAACTTCACTCTGCCAAGAGCAGGTGTTGAGTTAGGGCACGTGGTCTTCCCAGAAAGCAGTGAGTTGGAGTTCCCAACAGAGCCCTGGGGGTTGTGAGCAGAATTGGCGTAATTGTTTGTGTGTGTGTGTGTGAGAGAGAGAGAGAGTGTGTGTGTGCAAGCACATACAAATGCATGTGTGTGTGCCCTGCAGCCAAGGCCCAGCCCTGTGGTCAGGCTCTCACAGGTAATGGTGACAGAGGGTAGGCCTGGACGCGGGGCTGGCCATGTCATCCCGTCCCTTGTGCTTGCAGTGCTGGTGAAGGGCCAGGTGACCACCAAGTACTACCGGCTGCTCTCCAAGCTGGGCGGCTGGGTGTGGGTGCAGAGCTACGCCACGGTCGTGCACAACAGCCGCTCGTCGCGGCCCCACTGCATCGTGAGTGTCAATTATGTCCTCACGTAAGTCAGCCGCATTTGTTTCTCTCCTTGTCTCTCCTGCTCCCCGCCCCGCCCTGTCCCTCATTGCACCTCGCCAACAAGCACCGTCTCTCTCTCCCTCTCTCTTCTCTCTCCAAATTGTCCATATGTCTCTTGTCTTGTTTCTACTTGAACAATCCAGCCTTTCTCTGTGCTTAGCGATGAGGGCCAAGTGCTAATCTGAAATGGGTGGGTGAGGCGGGAGGGACCCAGCACAGTACTCCGGTGAGGGATGTGGGGGTCAGGGGACAGGTGGGGGATGCCCCCATTTTACAGGTGCACATCAGGAACACACATAGGCTCTTCCTGTTTATTAGGGTCACTTTGGGTGTTCTTGCCATTCAGGTCAGAGGAAATCTTCCATTAAGTCTGTGGCAAATAATGATGAATGGCTGGTCCCTTAAAAAACTGGAAGGCCACGTTCAGTCAGGAGGACGTTTTAAGGCCAGGAAAGCAACAGCACACCTGCATCTGTCTGGGGAGCATCTCTCTCCAAATTGTCCAACCGTACACAGGAAATGTGTGCTACCAAAAAAAAACCCCACCCAGCATGGATTTCCACGTTTTGAATTCCAAAATGAACTGGACTTTTTGTTATACTCTCCTGGCACCCCACTTTGGGCTGGTGCTTTTTGCATTAAGAGGGAGCAGTACTGAGTCCTCTCCATCCCGCCAAGCATGTTTTGGGGTCACTGGTGCTTGTGGTGCAGGAGGCTTTCGTATCCGTGGGGAACTTGCCTTTCCTCAGATGTCCCCCCACAGCCTCCATCCTGCCGTCCAGTGCCAGCCGCTCTAGGGGGCTGACAGTGCACCTGCTCAGGGGATGCTGCAAGGGGAGCCACCCCTCCTGGCCATTGACCACCTGCTGCATCTGGCGATGACTCGCTGCGCTCTTGCTTTCCAGGGATATCGAATACAAGGAACTCCAACTGTCCCTGGACCAGGTGTCCACATCCAAGTCCCAGGACTCCTGGAGGACCGCCTTGTCTACCTCACAAGAAACTAGGAAATTAGTGAAACCCAAAAACACGAAGATGAAGACGAAGCTGAGAACAAACCCTTACCCTTCACAGGTAACACACACAGGTGCACACACACACACACACACACACACACACACACGAGGGGTGTCATGAGAAGCCAGGCACACTGCTGGGCTCTGGCTCAGGACACCTGGGCATGTTACAGCAAGGGCCTTCCCACTCGGGACAGGAGGACTGTGGAGTGAAGGAAGGTCCCTCAGGGATGTCTGTTTGCATGGCAGGGACAGAGCCTGGGGCAGGCAGCTATCAGGTGGGCCGCTCTGTAACAGGGAAACACACAGGTCACTGAGTACCTGAACCATGCCCTTCAGCTGCCCAGGGTGTGCAGGGAGCTGGGTCATGGTCAGAACCAGAGCTAGAGCTCCTGGCACTCAGACATGGAATGTGGACCTGTATCTACTAGGCCAGAGGTCTACTCCTAATAATATTGTATAAACAGAGATTTATTTATGTGTATTTTAAAGGCAGACTTAGAGGGAGAGAGAGACCTTCCATGTGCTGGTTCACTCCCCAAATGACTGGAGCTGAGCTGATCTGAAGCCAGGCGCCAGGAGCTTCTTTCTGGGTCTCCCACATGGGCACAGAGTCCTAAGGCTTTGGGTTATCCTCGACTGCTTTCCCAGGCCACAAGCAGGGAGCTGGATTGGAAGTGGGCAGCAGGGACATGAACTGGCGCCCATTTGGGGATGCCAGAGCCACAGGTGGAAGATTAGCCTGTTAACATCACGGTGCTCTCCTGATAGCATTTTTAAAATGAGTACCTTCTCTCTGCTTTAAGTAGTTTGGGAGCTCTTGACATTGACACTATGCAGCCCAGGGGTTATGCACTTGTCCCAGGGTGGGGGCGATGTGGGCCTGGGCCCCTTGGGGCGAGATCTCACTGGGTGAAGGCAGTGTGTTTTGGCCCCTGGGCTCTCCTGTCACTGTCTTCTTTGCCTCGCAGCAGTACAGCCCATTCCAAATGGACAAACTGGATTGCAGCCCCCTTGGAAGCTGGCGAGTCAGCCCCCCGGCCGGCACCGCGGCTGCCCCGGATCAGCAGCTGCATTCGGAAAGCAATGAGCTGCTGTACGCGCCCTCCTACAGCCTGCCCTTCTCCTACCGCTACGGCCCCTTCCCCCTGGACTCACACGTCTTCAGTGGCAAGCAGCCCATGCTGCCAGCCAAGTTCGGCCAGCCCCAGGGAGCCCCATGTGAGGTGGCACGCTTCTTCCTGAGCGCACTGCCAGCCGGCGGCGAGTGCCAGTGGCATTACGCCAACCCCCTTGTGCCTGGCAGCCCATCTCCAGCCAAGGGACTCTCGGAGCCACCCATGAACACCACCCGGCACAGCCTAGTGCCAAGCTACGAAGGTGGGTCTGTCGGGTGTGCATGTGGGGGTGGGGTGGGCAGCCAGAACAGGAGTCTATACTTCAGGAATGGTCCCCATGCTAGCCTGGTAAGCACCCATGAAGGTATCTGCGTCCCCAGCAGCATTCACTACACAGGTATGTGCGCTTAGCAGGCCAATGCAGGAGACCCAGGCTGGTGGCCCATCTGAGCATCTGGGGGGAAGGGGCTGGGGCAGAAATGCTACTTGCCAGCCCAGGGCCAAGGATGTGAAAACTCAGGTCAGTTTTGCCATCTGTCAAGTGGGATCCTCGTGCTCTGGCCCAGCATGCTGGGTCAGGGCTGGCTCACAGCCTGCTAGCCCAACCACAGTGGGGCACAGCTTTGGAGCTTTCTCCCCCTGGTGGTGGGCACGTCCCCTGTGGAGGTGATGGTTGCTCAGGGCACAGACTACTGCTTGCTCCTTTACCAGTGCAGGTGGAAGGTGAGGATTGAGGGTGAAGCTGCTGGAAACATATTCATGTTTGCATTCAGCCCTCACTGTCACCCGGAGTGCAGATCAAGGCAGTGCAAATGTCCCGTGGGCAGCAGGGAGACACACACGGGACAGGATGACATACTGACTCCCCTCCCCTTCCCTCCCCTCCCCTCCCTTCCCCTCCCCTCCCCTCCCCTCCCCCCTCCCTTCCCCTCCCCTCTCCTCCCCTCCCCTCCCGTCCCCTCTCCTCCCCTCCCCTCCCTTCTCCTCTCCTCTCTCCTCCTCCCCTCCTCTCCTCCTCCCCTCCCCTCCCGTCCCCTCTCCTCCCCTCCCCTCCCTTCTCCTCTCCTCTCTCCTCCTCCCCTCCTCTCCTCCTCCCCTCCCCTCCCCTCCCCTCCCCTCCCCTCTCCTCTCTCCTCCTCCCCTCCCCTCCTCTCCCCTCCCCTCTCCTCCCCCCCTCCCCTCCCCTCCCCTCCCCTTCCCTCCCCTCTCCTCCCCTCTCCTCCCCTCCCCTCCCCTCCCCCCTCCCTTCCCCTCCCCTGTCCTCCCCTCCCCTCCCCTCCCCTCCTCCCTACTTGTCCCCTCCCCTCCCCTCTCCTCTCCTCTCTCCTCCTCCCCTCCCCTCCCCTCCCCTCCCCTCCCCCCCTCCCCTCCCCTCCCCTCCCCTCCCCTCCCCTCCCCCCTCCCTTCCCCTCCCCTCTCCTCCCCTCTCCTCCCCTCCCCTCCCCTCTCCTCTCCTCTCTCCTCCTCCCCTCCCCTCCCCTCCCCTCCCCTCCCCTCCCCTCCCCTCCCCTCTCCTCTCCTCTCTCCTCCTCCCCTCCCCTCCCCTCCCCTCCCCTCCTCCCTACTTGTCCCCTCCCCTCCCCTCTACTTCTCTCCTTGTTTTCTATGTACATCCTCCACATCTCTCACTGTTCTGATCTGAGCGGAGGGATCCCTCGGGGGAGACGCCCAAGGCTTTCCAAAAGAGGCAGTTAGGGGCATGCTGACCTGCACGAGCCGTTGGTACCTGTTTCATGCCCCAGACGCCCACGGTCCCGTGGGAGGGACACATCCGGACATGCAAGGGAAGAAAAACCAAGCCAAATGACAAGGCTGACAGTCCTGCTGGCTCCACGGCGGCTGGCATTTTTCTTTGGGAATGAGCTACATGAAATTTTGATTTTTTTTTGTTGCCGTTTTGAAAGTTAACAGGTTATTAATCACTTGCTTGTCACACTTTTTTTTTTTTTTTAATGCACCTTTGAGATCCATTATGAACCATGTGCCAGCCTTTGGGTATTGGAGGAAGTGGGGAAAGGAAAAGAGAAAAACCAGTTTTTAAAAATGGAGGAAGGCAAAGGTTTGTTGTGACCAGAGCCATACAGGAGAGCTGGTTTGCGGCATGTAACTGGGGGGAGGGCACAGAGTCTCTTTCCTCGGGAGATTCCCACTCGTTTCCCACGAGGGATGCACAGGGCAGACGGGGGCATCTCCTAGGGTACCAGTGTCCCCCGCGCTGCCTGGCTGATGCTGCAGGTGTGCCCAGATGGCGCAAACTGGTCTTTTAAAACAGTAGCGCCACGAGGGACTAGCTGGAAAAGTGTGGCATCCAATGAAGGCCCTCTTGGGCAAGCGTCCCAACTGCTGCCCTGTCCTTTCTCAGCGTTGCTGCCGCATGGATCAGAAAGGGGCGTGAAGGGAGGGTGGGGATCCGGGGGTGGCGCTGTTCTGGGGAGCACCCCTCCCTCTCTCGGTGCCCCGTGTCTAACGTGTTGCTTGTCCCCGCAGCGCCCGCCACCGCCACCGCGCGCAGGTTCGCGGAGGACACCGCGCCGCCGCTGCCGCCGCTGCCCCCGCCGCCGCCGCCCAGCTTCCCGAGCTGCGGGCACTACCGCGAGGAGCCCGGGCTGGGCCCGGCCAAGGTCGCCCGCCAGGCCGCCGCGGCCCGTGACGGCGCCCGGGGGCTGCGTGCGCCCGAGTGCTGTGCGCCCTCGGTCCCCGAGCCCCCGGGCGCGCCGGCGCAGCTGCCCCTGGTGCTGCTCAACTACCACCGCGTGCTGGCGCGGCGCGGGCCGTTGGGGAGCGCCGCGGACCCCGTGCCCGGCCCGGCTGGCGGCCCCGACACCGAGGCGGGGACGGCGGGGACAGCAAGCGGGCTGCGGCCTCGGCTCCCCAGCCCCGCCGGCCCGCCGCCCGGCGCGCCCCGGCCGCACTACCTGGGCGCCTCGGTGATCATCACCAACGGCAGGTGACCCGCAGGGCCGCCCGCAGGGAGAAGCCCTAGGCAGGCCTGCGCAGCAGGTGAAGGAGGGGCGAGCTGCATATGCACAATATAATTTAATTTATACAGAGACGACTATTTTAATAAGACCCTGCAGCCGACTTTAGTTTTTTTTTTTTTCCTTTTTTAACTGTCGATGCCAGGAGAGTACTGGGGTTGGACTCCTGCCGGACCTGGTCTAGAGCCATGTCCTGAGGGGGTTGTTGAGAGGCCCTACCCCACCCTTCAGGGCCCCTTTTCCATTCTTGGGTAAAGGCAGGATTTGGTGATGCCAAGTTCCAGCCATAGGCAACACCACTGTCTTTAAAAGTCACTTAGAAGTCACATGCTTACTCTCCCCGCCCCTTGTACAAAACTAGGTATGGGGGGAGGCGACATAGAATTCTGCTGTGTGCCTGTGAGCTTTGGGGTGCACCCCAACTCCATTAACCAGCTCCTACTTCCCTCCCAACCCCTGTAAGCTCTGGGGTAACACCAAGAGTGGCACCTTCCAAAAATCCCGAAGAGGCATCAAATGCTAACAAATACATAATGTTAGAGATACTTGATGTAGCGAATGATCCTGCCTTGCTGGACTCGGTGCACACCCCCTCCATGACCCACACGGACCTGTAGCTCACCGAGGCTGGTGTTGGCACAAGGGCCGTTACAGAGGTGGCGACGTTGCATGTGCAATATGAAAAACGAAAGCTGGCTCACCTGCATCTTGTGGGAGAAACCAAACGTGCTCCTGGGATGTGATGACAACGATGCAGACATGGTAAGCCTTCTCTGTATTTGATGCGCAGTAAGAGAACGTCCTACAGACATGTCACACGCAGAACCGGTCCCCGGGAGCTCCTTTACACGGCACTGGCAGGGTTGTAGAAAATAAACGTCCATTTGGTTTTTATGGCTTTTTTTTTTCTTCTTGAAGATATGACGGAGAACAACTTTCAAAGTGCTTCAGACCCCTCAAACTGAGTTAAGAAACTTTCCACTTTGCTGAATGACGAGTTCCCCCCCCCTCCATTTTTTAAATGTATCATCTTAGAATCAAAGCATACCTGACCCCACCCGTGCTCAACTTGTGAGCTGACCTGGGGTGCACCTCGTGTCACCAGCGGAGACCTGGCCCTTACTGGGTTCCTGCAGGGTGCCAGCCGGACAGCTCCTGGGGCGGGCCTCATTTTTTTTTTCTCTTTTTATTCCACATGTCTAGTGATTAAACTGGCTTTCTGAAAGGTGTGGGTTTGATGATGCAGGCGGGTTCTAGCCTGTGCTCACCCTCCAGGCTGGACTTAGAAAAAATATCACGGAGGCTTTCGGAAGCAGCTTAAGGACCAGGGTCTCTGCTATGGGGGGTCAGCGAACCCCATTTACAGATTTGCAAATGATAGAAACAGACACCACGAACAGCACACACCCACACACACCTTGCTGAAACTGACAGGGTGAGTTTTTAGCATCTAGAACCTGAAGGCCGATTCCCTGGGAAGCCGGAGCACGGCCACCAGCCAGGGCCCCGGGCACCAGGAGCCGTTCCCATGGCAACCTCATATTGGCACGTCCGTCTCCTAAGAGCGTACACAGCAAAGCGGGGATATTGTTTCTTGACTTCTGTGAGGGGGCGCAGGCAGGGAAAGGGGACGCATTTTAATACCTATGCCTTCTCTTTCACACACACACACACACACTGAAAAAAAGTAGTGAGCCCTAACATGTACCATGTTGACAAAAATGCCAGATCAAATGGATTTGAGGAATCAGCTCAATTCAAGACCGGCTCAGCCCTCCCAGGGAAAGGAATTCCTTTATGTGTTTGGAAGTCCCTTTCTGGAAAAAGCCATTCCATTCATACCTTTGTAGAGAAGTGAGCTTATGTGCACAGAGCAGCCCAGAGCAGCCTGGGGAAGCGCCTGCTTCCAGCACCTGCCCAAACCCACCCCCAGCCTCCTCCCTGTTACTGTTTTAGAAGTCCCATCACCCCTGCCTGCCTCCCTAGGGTGGGGGCAGTGGGGGGGAGGGGTGTTGCATAGTCAAACTATGGGATCCGTGCAAAATGTCATTTCTTGGACCCACATGATCCACTGGTGGGGTAGCCTGGGCGTGGGGGTGTTGGCACCGATGACTTGGAAGTCTCAAGAATAACAGCCGCTCCAGCTCACGGAGGGTTTATCCAGAATGCCTTCTCCCAGCTCTACCCCAACTTACAACACGCTTTTTGGGAGAAAGAAAAAAGTTTCCACAAACTCAAACACCGTAAAAGAACAGAATCTCAAGGCTATTAGATCAAATTTATTTTTGACCTCCTTGAAAAGGAATTTTTTAAAAGCTTTTTGCTAATTTTCCATCCTTTGGAGTAATACAATTTCTCTTTTGTAAGATGCTTACTACCTTTGTTGAAAGTACATCAAAGATAAACACCAGCTCTTCAGTACTCAGAAATACGTATTCCTGACTATGTAAGACAATATTTATTTTGTAAAAATATGTTTAAATATGAATTAAAAAATGCTGTAACCCCGAACCGTGAGTCGCATGTTTTTCACCAGTGACACTCGTGGTTCATCCACCAAGGAGCTCACGCCGGAGAACATGGTCAAGTTTATTCAGCTGACTTGCTTTTTTAAAGGCATTGGTTCAAAGTGAGTTTCCCCTCCTCCATCCCAAGATGACTTTTTAGAAAAAAAAAAAAAACTGATCATGTAAAAAGGGTTACACTTCCTGGTATTTCAAACTGCATAGTAACCACTGGGAGTTACAACTCCCAGACAGAGGGGCGTGTACACACCTTTGCATTCCATGTACCCCACTAGGGTTGGGGGTGTCCATGGGGGCAAGGAATGATTCTCCCATCCCTTCCTGGAGCCTCCACCCTCATCTGCGCCTGTGTCCCTAAATGCAGGTGCTGCGTGAAAAACCCACCACGAGGGTTGCAGAAGATACAAATCCTTACTTCATCCCCTTACCGTGCCCCATGGCAGACCCCTAAAACTGCTTCAGAAGTGCCCCACTGTCACTGTGGCCAGTGAGGAGGGGGGCACTTTCTATGAGTTCCCCCCTGGAGCGAGCCAGCCCCAGCCCAGCAAGGAAAGGCACCTTCTCTTTTACAGAGCTTGGCGGTGGGGGCAGATGGCAGCATGCCACTTCCAGCCAGGGTTTTGGATGGCTACACAGGTCCCCAGAGAAGCGGTCACATTTCAGAGAATTGGAATGCTCCGGGTTTTTGTTAAGACATTCAAGCTCCATAAGACCCCAGATGGCAGGGACTTGGTGGGGGCATCCCCGCCTTCAGTTGCAGTGGTGGTGGTGGGGCAGTGTTGGGGGTGGGTAGCAGGTAGGTGAGTTTCCCCAAGTGGTCAGGAAAGGGCCTGGCTTCAGTCGGTCCCAGCAGAGCAGGATGCCCAGGGTCTGGTTCGTGGGCACCAGGACATCTGCTTCTGCTCTGTCCCCTGCGCGTCGGGGGTGCCCTGCCACCCCGCAGAGGCCTGGCGCAGTGCCTGTGTCCCGATGCCGCTGCACTTCATTAGTCTTCACTGACAAAAAGGAAATGAAATGATAACATTTCCCCTCCATCAAGCAGAACTGTCCAGAATAGAACTTGAGCTTAAAAGCAAAGCCACGCATGGTTCTCAATGAATCCTTCTCCCGCACAAACTCAAGTCACGGTGGCAGCTCCCAGGGATGACTCGCCTCGTGTTGTGACAGTCTGAGGACCGAAACCCACGCCCTTAGCCTGGAGATCTCGGCCCCTGTGGTGTCCCACAGCCGCCCTCTCTGGGTGAGCCCCTGGCGCCATTTCTTTTGTCGGGGGACTTTTATTTAAACTTGGTCCTCATTCTGAAAGAGGGTGTTTAGGAGAGAGTGACTGACTTTCATTTTGGGGGGAGAAATATTCCGACCGAAGTCCTACTTGCTGAAGTGCTTCTGAAGATACATTTCCAAGGAATGCAGGTTGGTTTGGTGTACCTCTTATGCTGTGTTTTTTCCTTCCTTCCTATGGGGCTGGTGGAAGGTAGACAGATTTTATATTGCAAACCACAAGTTTCTGGAACCGGCCAGGCTGGCTAAGACCCGGATAAAGATGGTGCTGGTTTACAATGAGGGGATTTTGTTCAAAGCTGAGCGTGCCTCTGTCAAGCTTTCTTTGCACTCACTTCAGGATTGGGGTTGGCAGGAAGGCAGGGGAGTGGACAAAACAGACAAACAAAAAACAAAAAAACTGGCCTTTTAAGGCTGCAAAGTAACGGGCCGACTCTCAAGTTCAACGGAGATAGGAGCTGCGTGGAGGAAACGTGGGGAACATCTGGAAACTGCAAATGGTTATCAAAGGCTTGCTTCCTTTGTTCTGCCAGGGAGACTTGTAGAGCATCAGAATTTGAACGTCATCGCTTAAAGCTACACACACACGCATACACAGAGGAGTTTACACACACAACCCTCCTCCACACAGAAGATGTTTGGTGCAAACATCATTTTTCTTTCTTTGCCGTGTAGGGAAAAGCAAGGCAAAAAAAAAAAAATGCTTGCAAATCAAATGCTAAGGATCGCACCTTCTGGGTGTTAAACCTTTTGGGTGTTGGACCGCCTGGCTGGGAAGCCCCACGTGTTGGAGGGAGCGTGAACCTGGAAGCTCCCAGCAGCCCAGTGTGTGGACAGGAGAGCCAGCCTTCGCCAGCATGGCCCCCACCTCTGACCGGGCACATGGCGCCCCGTTAGTGCACTCAGGCCCATGCCCCTGAGTCCAGTGCTACGGAACACACAGTGAATGTGCACATTGGCCAAGCAGCACTCACAGCATAGGGCCTGAGAGGTCAGCTGAGTTCCTCTGCACGGTCACTGCCATGGTTGCTCACTGCAGGTGTCCAGGGACTGCAGTGTTGGGCAGAGGGGAGGTCCTAGAGGCCTGGCCTCTTGCTTCCCCTGCTTGCCACAGTAACACCCATTACGCATCCCTACATGTGCGTTAGGACAGTAGCCTGTCTCTAGAAGCTGAACCACAGGGAGCCTCCACCCCTCTCTCACCAGTGGTCTGCACCCATGAGCGGTTTCGTGACTATTTCTTAGTGATGTAGCAGTCAGTCTCCACTCCTGGGAAACCCCTGTCCGACCCTAAGCACAGGCTTGGGCTGGGAAAGTTGGGGGGTCTCCACCCACGTGGGATCTTCATTTGTCAACTCTACATCTGCAAGCATCTGCAAACATCCACACCGATGGCAACTCACAACAATCCGAAGGACACATAAGAGTAAAAAGAAAAAAAAAGCTCCGGAGTCCACAAAGAAATTGGAGGGTTAAAAACAAAACTAAAGTAAACAAATCCATCCGAATTAGCTTTCCGGGTTCACTGAGGCGAGCAGCACACTTGCGTTGTGTTGGAGCTTCTCGGCTCATGCACCAGTGAGGGAGGATGCCTGGTCCGCGCGGCCAGCGCTGGGGACGATGGGGCTCCAGTCCCCATGGCTACTGGCCTTTGGGCACGAGGAGGTTCCGCAGCATGTCAAAGGAGTTGCCGTCGGGGTGCACAGTCACCACCTCTCCGTCCTCCCTGAGCACCTGGAGGAAGCCAGAGTCATCCAGGCCCACGATGGAAACCTCAGGTCCCTCGGCGCTTCCAAGACGCACCTGCTGGCCACTGGAAATGCAGGGGAGCGAGCGGTCACTGGAGCTTGTCGCAAGCAGAAAACGGGGCCTGAGGTCCCCTGCCCCCACCCTGGCCCAGAGCTGCCGACACTCCCCCTGCAAGCACTGCCTCTGCAACAGCCGCAGCTACCACCCAGGCGCTGGGGATGCCCATGTGCGCCTTGTCTTCACAGCCCCATCCCGCCACTCCGTGGCAACTCAAGAAATGTGGGGGTGTCTCCAGGCCTTTTCCTTGGGACTAGGGGAGAAAGAGGCCTCATGGAAAAAGAGATCTCGTCTCCTAGGATGAGGCCAGGTGGCACGGGCCACAAGGGTGCCTCACTGGGCGTTTTCTTCTGTGAGCTTCCAAAGCTCCCAGCCCCATGAACAGTTCTACAGCACAGTACTTCTCCACCAATGTTGATTCTGAAGAATTCCACATCTACAGCAATGCTGGACCAATCAAATTTCCTTCATATCTGTTGGTACCAAAGGCCATTTTCCATATTTGCTCCCAGTCTGCATCCACACACAGACATACACACACGTATATATCATGACCACACACACGTGACCACAAATGTACACATAAACCTGCACACGAGTTTACAACATGCAACTATGCACAGTGCACACACACATGCACACACTTGTATACACATGCCAGGAGCACACACATGCACACCCACTCACCCACATGCACACACACAAACATTTCTGAAGGCCACTCCACTAGGTGCCAGCATGGTCAACTCGGGGGCTGAAGCCTCCTGCATGGCTCTGCTGGGGACAGGGCCGCCTTCTGGGAAGCTGTCTGTGCCACGACCCTGAGGAGGCACAACCTTGAGGCGGCAGCAGTAGCCGAGCTCAGGCACGGGCCACAGTCAACCTCTATTCCCCTGTTCCGTGACTAGCCTCATGGCCACCCCTGGCCACCTCCGGGAGCTGATTCTGGCTCACACATCACACCCCAGTATCCTCAGCCTTCTCTCCTCTCCAACAATCCTCCCGGCCTTCTGTTTCAGGACTAGGTTGTCACACTTCAGCTGCCGGAGAGCCTCTGGCTGTTGGAAGGCAGAAAGGGCTGGGTTTTGATAAGACTCTGGGTCTGATAGGAGATGACGCTGAGCCAACACTGACCTGTGCACCCAGTATTTGTAATAGACAGGAAGCACGCCGCCGGGCCCCTGGGCCTGGAACGTGTCCACCAGCGTCTCCAGCGCCGTCACGGCTCTGGCGATGAGCACGTCGGCTCGTAAGGGCTTCAGCGCTGCCTGGTGCTGCCTGTTGTACTCGGCCACGAGGTCGTTGATGCATATGGTGGGGTTGCTGTTCGTGACATTAAACCCACAGCCTGGACAAGAAACCAGACGACATCAAAGTGAGCTGATCCAGAGAACGGGTCTGTCATCACACATTGCTCCCCCACCCCCATCGTGGAGGAAGTCGCACTTATTATCTTACTATCCCATGCCCTCATTTTAAGTAATTTTTTAAAAGATTATTTTATTTTGAAAGGCAGTGTGACAGAGTGAGAGGGAAAAGCAGAGGAAGGGAGAGAGAGGTAAGTTGGTTCATTCCCTAAATGCCTACCAACGGGGCTGGGCCAGGTCCAGCCTGGGACTCCATCTGGGGTCCCCCCACCCTGAATAGGGGACAAGAAGCCCAAGCACTTGGGTCCCAGGCACCTTAGCAAGGAGCTGGAGCAGAGGCAGAGCAGCTGGGACTCAGACCAGCATTCCACGGGACGTTGGCAATGCAGGCGGCAACTGTTAGCTATTGGTGCCCCAGCCCATCCCCATCACCCCAGAGCTGTCATCTCTGGCCACCTAGAGAGGAGCGTATCTCCGAGGCCATCTTCCTCCCTGTCCTTCCATGATTCTTTTTGTTCAAGCAAGGAGCTTCTGAACCTGGCTACAGACAAAGGAGAATGCCACACTTCAATGTAATTCCAGAGGAAGCCTACGACAGGTCGAGACCTCTGTAGCATCGCTTCTGAAAACAGCGGTCCTTCAAGCCCAGGCTGCAGCTCTGTGCTGGGAATCCACATCAAATACCATCTCTGGTTCCTTTTTTACTTGAACACAGGCTCAACACTTGTATATTTTGTTCAGGTCTAAAAGAGAAAAGTCTGGATTCCCAGATTTCAACCTTTCGGTCACGGACTAACCTCAGACACATCTTTTAATCTTCCCCCCTCTTGGAAGTCCCTGGGGCTGAGGTTACACCACTGGCCAGAAGCCAGACACAGAGAGAGTGTGTGTTATCAGGGCCAGAGGCTGCATCAGCTGCTTTGTGCGGAGCAGGAGACCAAATCCCAGCGCTCTCACAGGGAGAACTTAATGTCTGCAAGGGAGCCAGACCTCAGCTTCCAGAAGGGGCCCTGGGCCAACCTCAAAGAGGGCCTGGGGGAGTAATGCATGACTGCATGCAAGAGCAGGCGATGAGGTAGCTGTGTGTGGGGGGGGAGCCTCTGAGGACCAACTGCCAGCCCCCTTGCAACCACGCCCTGGGCAAGGGCAGCTGTCTTGCCCTAAATGTTCTGCTCTTTGCAGTGGGGAGGGGAGCATGGCTTGGCCTCAGATTTCTTTTGTTTAGAGCAGACTCATCCCTAAGATGCTAAGCATGGCAACGATGTCCAGAAAAGCCAGTACTGTAGCCATGGGGCAGGACGTGGCATAATCGGCCGGGTGTTCATGTGAGCTACAGTTGCAACATTGCAGGTGCCTGCTGAAGGAGAGGCATTCAGCACTAGAGGGCTGAAAGCCATTCTTTGCATTCAGAAAATGTGAGGTCCTGAGGTGGGCATGAGGAACGGGACGGATCCCACAGGAGGGTGCCTTGGTTCAGGTTCCAGACTCAGCTCTGCCTCTCACCCAGCTTCCGGCCAATGAACGTCCCAGCGTGCAGATGATGGCACACGTACTTGGGTCCCTGCCACTCATGTGGAAGACCCAGGTCGAGTTCTTGGCTCCTGGCTTGGCCTGGCCTGCTCCACTTCCAATCTAGCTCCTTGTCAATGCACCTGCAAGGCAGTGCAAGAATGCCCAGCTGACATGAGGCCGACTCCGGAGTGGGAGTCGCAGCCACGTGGGGAGTGAATCATGAAAGATCTCTCTGTGCTTTTTGTGTTTGTGTCTCTCCCTTTCAAACAAATCAGTAAAAGTAAAATAGCCAGAAAGAAAATGGCAAGCCCTGGGGGGAAGAGTGAATTTGACCATCGTCCACAAAGACCTTGTCCTTCCCAGCTGCCGGGGTCACCTCTGTCGGCAGCTCTGACTCCAAGCAGTCCTGACAGCCTTCACCTTTGCTGAAAGCCAGGGGCTCTCCCTGCAGGGTCATGTTTCATTTTCCTGGTGTTGATGGAATTCTTGAGCTTACTGAAGCCACTGGTGCAGACCCTCGTGAGGAGTGTCTGCCTGCAGGGGTGGCAGTGCTCGTCTGCACACAGCGGGCAGGCCTGCAGGGGTGGGGAGTGGCTTGCCTGGAAGGAAATGTCCAGTTGGGAACAGAACTGCCTGTACTGCATGTGCACGGCACGCTTGCTACTCTCTGGCAGACACTTCTGACACACAGTCATGCTCTGTCTACCCACTGCTCACTGCCGAATGCCAGTGGAGACTACTGGACTCCAAGATCTCTGGAAGGGCCTCTGAATCCCTCTCCGTGCCTCATCTGGATGAGCTGTGGAGTAACAGGTATTCTGCAGGCTGGAATTGTGGAGCAGTGGGTTAGACCAATATTTGCAGTGCTGGCATCCCATATGGGCGCCGGTTTAAGTACAGGCTGCTCTACTTCCAATCCAATTCCCTGCTAATGCATCTGGGAAAGCTGTGGAAGATGGACCTGCTAGCCATGAGTCCCTGCTACCCAGGCAAAGACCTGGATGAAGCTTCTGGCTCTCAGCCGCAGGCTGGCCCGGCCTTGGCAATTAGGGTCATTTGGGCAGTGAACCAGCAGGTGGAAGATCTCTGTCTCCATCTCTCTCTAACTCTGCCTTTCGAACAAATCAGCACTAAAAAAAGAAAATGGAGATTCTGTACCTTGACTTGACTATCCAGAAGTTCCTTCTGAAGGTTAGAAAGAGAGCAACTTCCCATGGCCCGGGAACGTAAAACAAACAATGCAAGACGACTGGAGAACTAGCGTAGAAACCAACTTTTCACTACAAAACGGTGCATTCCATGTGTATTTCACCATTTCCAGCGTAACAGAAGCAGGCACGTGGAAGGCTTCTGTGATGCCAATTCCGTGGTTTCCGGGACGGTAGATAGGACAGGCTAAATACCCTTGAAGCAATTTCAGCCAGTCCCGTTCTCTTTGAAAACTCGTCATACGTTAGAAACCACAGAGGAAAAGACAATCCGTGTGAGCCTCTGCTCCTCCCAACCTAAGTGGACATGGATCCCTTTCATCCTGGCTTTAAAATCTAAAGATAGCAGGGTCAGTGCTGTGACACAGTAGGCTTAGCTTTCGTTCATGGCATCGGCATCCCATACGGGTGCTGTTCCACTTCCTGTCCAGTTCCCTACTTAAGGCCCGGGAAAGCAGTGGAGCAGGGCCAAATGCTTGGGCCCCTGTACCCATGTGGAAGACCTGGAAGAAACTACTGGCTTCTGGCTTTGGATCGGCCCAGCTCCAGGTGTTATGGCCATTTGGGGAGTGAACCAGTGGATGGAAGATCTCTCTCTCTCTCTCTTTCTCTCCTTCTCCCTGTAATTCACCTTTCAAATAAAAATAATTCTTAAAAAAGATCTGAAAGTACTGAGGGTAAGGCTTTGAAACTCACCAATGAGGATATAGAACGTTTCTCCCAGGAGCACTGAGTTAACCAGAACTCCGCCGATCTTCATGAGGTCACTGTAGTAAATGTCGTTGGGCCACTTCACTCGCAGGTTGATATCCTAAAGGAAAGTGTGCACGTTACTTTACAGTCACAGGACTCAAGAGAAGCAGGCCAAGGCATTGGCTATGTAGATGGTGGGTCTTTAAACAGATAGGACACGGACCTTGTCTTTTCCTTTAGACAGTGAATCTGTTGGACACCCCAATATTAAAGCACTTGTTGAGGGATCAGAAAAGGAAGACCTAAAGAATCCATTCAGCATAAATCCTGGAATCCTCTGACCATCCCCACCCCTGTCTTTCATCATCAAATACATTTTCTGTGTTATTCGTGAACGACCTCAAGGTCAACCAGCGTAGGTTATCTCCCACATCCGGTGGGGAGCATTCACTGTGGGCTTGGTGATTGGACGGAGAAGAGCAGTGCTCCCAGCGTGCTTTTCCAACAGGCCCCAAATTCACCACCATCCTTCAAAATCTTCTGTATGACCCAGCTATCCCACTCCTGGAAATATACCCAAAGGAAGTGAAACCTGCAAATCAGAAAGTGACCTGCAGCCTTATATCTATAGCAGTACAATCTACAATAGTAAAGACATGGAAAAATCCAGACGCCTATTGAAAGAGAAATGGATAAAGAAACTCCAGTATATATATGCTCTGTGGAATAATACACAGTCATTAAAAAGCACAAAATTCTTCCACTTGCAATAAAATGGTCCCAACTAGACTATTATGCTCAGTGAAACAAGCCAATCCCAAAAGAACAAACATCATGTGTTCATTCTGATATAAGGCAACCCTCATGCAAATACAGGATCAATAGATATGTAAGTAAACATGTATGCACACATATTCATCTAGAGGAACTGTGCAGTGGAGACTAGCATACTGAGAAGTGAAGATACGCTGCAGTATGCATCCCTACTTGAGCGAAGGAAAACTCCCAAGGAAAATGTTAAATACACCTTGACAATGGAATACCAGCCGCCGCTGTCAGTGCACCTAAATGCAGAATGATGCACTTGTGACTGCTGCGGAAGGATTATACTATGTAATGCTAAGGGAGGAGACTGTGGGGAGAGCTGGAAGGGGGATTTCTGTGCTTATGGAATTGCAGCATGAAAAAGAAAAAAGCAGATGGAGTCACCTTGAGCAGAATGCCCTGGAGATGGAGTTGTTAGAACAAGTTGTTCTCACAAAGCCACCAAGAGACAACATGGGTGACGTCTGTGAACTGGTCACATGACCTGCCGCCTCGCCATCCTGAAGGACTGGGGGGCGACGGGGAGCTCTGCCTGGACTCCGGGCAAAGTGCAACAGATGCTGCCTTGACCAGAGAGACCTCTGCCTGCCCCTATCACTGTGCAGTTGGGATAAACACACTGGGTCAGACCAAGGGGGCTACTGCCACGCAGGGCCATATCCGGCAGAAGGAAGCCCCCCTACAGAGGCACTCTGCCACAAAGCTCGGAGACCAGAGCAGAGCCAATGGCCTCCACACCTCTGGCACTGGCTTCCTGCACTGTGGCTGGACCCAGCATTCCCTCGCCTCTCCACACTGGCCTCCCTGGGCCTTCCACTGACCCCGGGGACTGGTTCTAGCATCTCCCTAGGGAGAGAAGAGGAAGCTTGCAGAGGTCACGTGGCATATAGCGTGAAGCTGCACCACTTGCAAGTAGCAGAATTGGGATTCAGAGCTGAACTTTTGGGAGCTGGTGTCTGGCTCCAGTGGCAAAGCCACCAGTTGGGATGCGAGCAAGTCCCAGCTGGACTCTTGCTTCTAGCTTCCTACAAATGCACCCCTTGGGGAATAGGGTTGATGGATCAAGTACATGGGTCCCTGCCACCCACAGGTAGGAGACCCGACTGAAGTTCCTGGCTCCCAGCTTCCACCCCCATCACTGCAGGCATCTCTGGAGTAAGGCAGCAGTTGGTGGACTGTGTCTCTCAAATACAAATACTTCCTCTACCTGGGCCAGCGAGGGTATACAGCTGCTCTATGAAGCTGCCAGCCTGGGGGCAGCGGTCCCGGGCCAGGACAGGAAAGCTCCAGAAGACAAGCAGAGCAGCCAGCACACACAGAATGTCGCACGCTCACAGTGACCCCTCAGGGACGAGGGACTTTCTGTGTCTTCTGTCTGGGATGGGGCCGTCCTCGACTGCTTTCCTAGGTCACAAGCAGGGAGCTGGATGGGAAGCAGGGCAGCCAGGACATGAGCCAGTCCCATGCGGGATCCCAGCACCGGCAAGGGGAGGATGTGGCCAGTGGAGACACTGCACTGGGCCCTTCCCTTGACTTTTTAATGATGGACAGTAAAGCAGTCAGCAGTGACAACAGTGCAAACACACCCTTCCTTACAGTTGGGGAAGAGGGTCCTAAACCAACCTGGGTGTTGAACTTGGTCAACCATTGATAAAGGATGGCTCACTCCGCTAAGCAGAGACTACAAGCTTTAGGGAAGGTCAGCAGTGGGAAGGACTCGAAATAAACATTTTTAACAGAAAATACAAATAGCTGAAATCTCATCTAACACTTTCGGTGTTGTGGTGTCATGTCAGAGGGAGGCTGCTCCATGTCTAACCCAGCTCCCTGCTATTGTGCCTGGGAAAGCAGTGGCTTGTGGCTCAAGTGACTGACATGGGAGACCCAGATGAAGTTCCAGGGCCCTTGGTTTCAGCCTAGCCCAGCCTTGACTGCAGCAGCCATTTGAGCAGTGAACAGCGGATGTAGGAGCCTTTTAACTGCTTCTCAGCCTTTCTCTGTGTCACTCCACCTTCCGCTAAAATAAATACAATCTTTGAATTTTCTTTAAAGTATGTCCTTATTAGGATGCTTGGGAAACAAGAGGCCATGGGTATCTACTGAGCCCGAGGCAGGCAGCTCCACCCAGGATGTTTCTACAGCTCCAAGAGCACCTGCTGACCAGATCTAGCAGGGGCAGGTGAAGGAGGTTCAGTTCCACCCCGTGACCCTTGCCAGCACAAGCTCTACCTGCAAGGAGTCGGGGATGTCCCATTACACCCACCTGGTACTCGGGCATGGTCCTGACGGCCTCCACCACAGCCAGCGACATCAGGTGCTGCACGAACGGGATCCTCTGGCCCAGCAGGGACCTCAGCGGGATGGAGAGCAGCAGCGTGCAGAGGGCGCACCCCACCGGGCTCAGCCAGGCATTCTGTCCCCGCCCTGCAACACAACTCCTATTGGGACTTCTGGCTCCTCGGGGGACACCTCACACAGGGCTGCAATCAAGCACCAGTCAGTCCTCCCCAACCGGAACCTGCCTATATGTCTTACAATGAGTGTGAATCTGCCGGACAAAAACAACCTCAAATCGGAAGAGCTACGGCCCGAAAGTTCCCCATCAGGAGCAGGATGTCCCATCTTTTCAGCCTTCCATTTTGGCTGTCAATGATTTAACATCTTCCAGCCCCCGTGAATAACCTTGCTAAAGCTTCAGTGCCCATCACGGGGTGGGGCAGGTAGCAACAGAGAGGCTGGGGGACCTCCAGTGAAACCATACCAACCCTGGGCCAAGCTCTGGGAACCACGTTTTAGAAGTGCATCTCCCAGCGAATCTACTTAAAAAACAGTCGCATAACTTAGATGGAGAACCTGGTACATCGGTTACATTCCAGTAAAAGTGGATCCCACACCCTGCTAACGCACACCCTGGGTGACAGCAGGGATGGCCCAAGGACCTGGGCTCCTGCCACCCACACAGGAGCCCTGGATGGCGCTCCTGGCTCCTGGTTTTAGCCTGGCCCAGCCCCAGCTATTGCTAGCATTTGGCAAGTAAACCAGTGGATGGAAGATTTCTCTCTCTGTTCCTTTCCTTTTTTTTTTTTTTTTTTTTTTTTTGGTTTCAGTTTCTGTGCCTTCCAAATTAAAAACAAAAATAAATAAATGGAAAAGGAGTTTTTCTAAAAGATCCCTCATGATAACATTGGGTTGTTCCTTTTTCTTGAAATAGAATTTGAGGAAACAAAACGATGGAAAGGATAGGAACCGTTCACTGAGATCTATACTGAGACCCAGACTTCCGATAAAATAAGTCTCTTTTTTCTTTTTCATGTTCCAAAGAAGGAACTGCAAAACAGTAGCTTCCTTATTTCTCTGCTTCCTTTAAAAAAAAACCACAGGGATCTCTAAGAGCTAAAAGTCCATTTGGGCGGGCCCGGCACCACTGGCCAAGGGCTGGTGGGGCAGCAGGCAGCCGGCCACTGGGCCACGGCAGGTCCCCCTGTACACACACCGGGCAGGGCCAGGCCGTTGGTGGGTTCCGAGAGGGCATGCAGGGGTGTAAGCCCCGGGTGGGGCTCTGCCTTCCTCAGTCCCTGAGTGGGCACTGGTCAAGTGCACACAGACTCTACATGGCTAGGCCGGGGACTGACTGTTCAGAGACCCCTCTCAGAGAACTTTCTGGAGACAGCAAAGGCCCTGGCACATACCATCCAGGAACTGCAAAGCCCAGTATGAGGGCAGATGAGGAGAGTTCTCCAGGGCTAGTTTCGAGTGACTGACAGGCATTCTAGTTTAAAAAAATGCCCCCAATGTGCTGAGGCTAACCCTTCTGCCATAGACGGCACATGAGAGCCATAGATTCCAGGAAGGAAAAACTGACAACTGACCTCTGCCCTGGGTTTGCCGGGCTGCGATGGCTATTAAACCCAGCTCCTGGGGCATCGCGAACATCAACCTGCAAAGAGGAGGGGAAAGACCAGTCAGCCAGAACTGCAGGGGATGGAGACAAGCAAGTGTGTGCAGAGGAGGGCTGGGGCGGGCGAGCATCTGTAAGGCTGTTTCCGGTGAAGGGCTAGCTTCCGGCTTCCTTCACGGGAGTCTGCACCTCCTGGGGACCTCTGTGGCGAGAATCACTGCAAAGCAGTGAGTCAGAAATGCAGGACAGGTGCAGAGCCTGTCATCCCTGCGGCCAGGTTAGTGGACGTTTCCACAGGACACATCCTCAAGGTCCCCCCGCCACTGCGCTGCACCCTTGCCATGGCCCCGTGGACCTGTGGACCTCTGCACCATCTTCCAGTGACAACTCAGTTGTGGCTGACATTTGTCCCTGCTTACGGCCGGTCGCATTTCTGCTCCAGTGCGGAAATCCAATCACTGCAGACGTTTCTGATTACTCAGAAAGCCAATATGGTGGGCATAAAGCTGTTTAAAAGACGCACTATCCCCTGAGAGCTAATTATACTTTCACTCTCGTAAATAAATCCACACCTTCCAAGAACCATGGAGAAGCCCGGAACCATTGGAGGCTGTAGGCCTGCGCCCCCCCTTTTTAAATGGTCTCATTTCAAAGAACACAAACTTCCCTTTGGGGATAGCCGAGACGCCAGCTCCATCTCCATTAAGTTCCTTCCAATACAGGCGCGATACCCCAAGCCCTCCCTTGACCCTGCCTGCAGCTTCCCCTGCACGGATTCCAACTCCGTGCGAGCACAGCATGCTCTGCGCTCTGGGCGGGTCCTAATCGGGGACTGAGCACACGCAGTCCACAGCACTACTGATTAAACACAGCCCAAACCACGTCAGCTCATTTGTCAGTGCAGCTAGAGGGGCCTCTTGCAAAACAAACAAACAAACTTGGGAGGGGAGCAGCAGGACTTCCAGCTTGTTAAGACGACCCCAAGGTCATGGGCTGGGCTGGGCTGGGCTGGGTAGTGCAGCTGCCTCCACATCCAGCAGCCCTGACTGCTGTAGGGCAGGCACAGGGCGCTGGGCTGGGGTGAGCCGACTGCGTGCCAGTCCCGCTTCCATTGCACATGAAATACAGTCCAGGACATATTTCTCTTGGACACCATGAATAACTCATTGAGACGGGGTGTGCCCATATGCTGCCGGGTTCCCGGAATAAAGTGTCCTTTTCTTATGCCCGCCGGCAGCAAGTCGTAAGAAAGATTCTTTGTCCATGCTGGGGCGTTAACATTGTCTTCTAGGAATGCTTGCCTTCCAGGGGCTACGGGGGGAGGTGGCTTTTTAAGAGAACGTAGGGGGAAACACACACGTTGTACACAGATCCAAGGACTCTAGCATGTTCTTCAAGTAAACCATGAGACAGTCAATAGAGGCTGCAGCCAGGGACAGTGATGACTTGAGCAGGTGGGCAACAATGCAGGGCAGAGGTTGGTTCTAAAATCAAACAGACTTGGGGCCTGGCATGAAAGCGTAGTGGTTAAGGTCCTCGCCTTGCACGCGCCGGGATCCCATATGGTTGCCGATTCTAATCCCGGCGGACATACTTCCCATCCAGCTCCCTGCTTATGGCCTGAGAAAGCAGTCGAGGATGGCCCACCAAAAGCCTTGGGACCCTGCACCTGTGTGGGAGACTTGGAAGAGCTCCTGGCTTCGGACTGGCTCGGCTCTGGCCGTTGAGGTCACTTGGGGAGTGAACCATTGGATGGAAGATGTCCCTCTCTGTCTCTCCTCCTTTCTGTATATCTGCCTTTCCAATTAAAAAAAAAAAAAAACAGACTTGGAGAACAATGAAATGACGACAGGAACATGGGTGCTGAGTCGCCACTCCCATGGTGGTGGAAGCTCCCAGGGCAGATTACACAGGAGGGGAGTTGGCAGCAAGTTTCACAGGGAAAATTGGAAGGAAGACGAGTGGGCAAGGAAGGAACTCATGTTTATTTGAGATCACCGGGGGCTGTGCCATATCAATCCGCTCCATCTTAGGTGACTCCGAGGGCCACCAACAAAGATGTACTGAGGGCCTCTGACAAAGCTGGCGACTTGGAGAACCAGGCCACCGCCCGGGTCTGCTGTTCACTGAAGGGAGATACTGCCTGCCTTTTTACATCTGGGGTGAAGGCTTCTCACACCAGAATGAGAACTCAGCAGTTCGCCTCCCAGTCACTCCAACTCGTCCTGGGGATCAGCCACGAGCAGTGGGTGGGAACATCTGAATGAGCATAAACTTGTAAATTCTGGTCCAGACTGGTGTCCACTCTGGGGAGTCAGACTGTGTGCCAAGCGGCAGCGCTTGTCACCATGTCCTCAAAAGAATTTTGGAAAGAGCCTGGACATTCAACAGGGAAATTCTTCAAGGTGAGATGCTACACGCAGCTGGCGGGGGGTAAGCTGTAGTCACTGAAAATGACACAATATGCAGTGAACATTAAAAAAGAGAAAGAGAGAGAGAACGAGAGAACAAGGATATAAGCTACCAGAGCTCTCATTCCAGCAGCATAAAATTCACTGAAGGAGGGAAATTTGACAACCTGTTAACAGTAGCCATAGTAGGATGATTCTTTTTCTTTGTTTTAAACTTTCAAAGTTACTTTTCAATTGTTGAGGGGAGAGGTAAGAAGCATGGTCATCACCTGTCGATGTAGTATGTAGCTATTCGTTAATATTTCTAAGTCCAAAAAGATCTGTTTTAGAGAAGGCAGCAGGTTACCGGCAGCATCTGCTTTAGAACAACTGCTGAGCGAGAGGCAGCTGGACAGTCATCGGCGAGGAGCACTCCACCTCTTCATGCTCACGCCACCGGGGACTTGGAAACCTTGTGCTTTCTGACCTAGTGCCTGCACCTCCAGACTTGCACCCTCAGGAGTATATGCAGACAGGAAAATGAAACAATTTTGGAGCCTAACCTCTTGCAACAGCATTACTGAGACATGGTAGAAAACCAGAAATAATCAAATGTCCCATGATACGAGTGAAAAAAATCATAGCATCCTCACATGAAACTGTCACACCACTCACCAGTGGCGATTAGGCGATTTCTTCAGGATATTTAAAAAAAAAAATCCTACATCCAACTTGATTTCAACAGTGCTTTAAAATCAAATTTTAGCAACTCTTAGGAAAAGGGCAACACTGGCATTTATCTCAGGGAGTACAAGTATTTGAAAACCACAGAGAAATACAAAGCAGAAAGTAAGGGAGCTTCAGCAAGTTCATGGACAGGACCTCCGTCTGGCTGGGTCACGGGCATCAGGTGCCAACCTGCACAGTTCCCTTCCCTCTCTTAGCGCTCGGAGAAGACATGCACTCTCGGGCTTCCTCAAGTTTTCCACATGTGAAAAAGAAACCACATCTGGGGGCTGGAGGATAAGGCAGAAGGGGACTGCAGGCAGGAAGCTTCCTGCTGCTCCAAAGGCAAACCAGGACCCGAGTGTGCTGTGTCCACAATGGCACACACTACCGTGTAGTTCAAAGGGAAATGACCTTCATTGCAAAACTAGGTTTTAAAAAAGATTTCTTTTTATTTGGAAGACAGATTACAGAGAAAAGGAGAGCCAGAGAGATCTTCCACTGCTAGTCCACTCCCCAAGTGGCCATAATGGCTAGAGCTGGGTTGATCTGAAGCCAGGAGCCAGGAACCTCTTCCAGCTCTCCCATGTAGGCGGGTGCAGGGGCCCTAGAACTTGGGCTGCCGTCTGCTGCTTTCCCAGGCTACAGGTAAGCTGGATCAGAAATGGAGCAGCCAGGACATGAACCAGCACCCGTTATGGGTTGCTGGTGCCAGAGGAGAGAGGCTTAGTCCTCTACACCCTGGCATAGCCCTAAAAAATAATTTTTTTCAAAAAAGTATTCCAGGGGCTGGTGTGATAGATCAATTGCCTAACCCTTTGCCCGCCAGCACCAGCATTCCATATGGGCATCACTAAAAGTTCCAGCTGCTCCGTTTCTGATCCAGTTCTCTGCTATGGCCCAGGAAAGCAGCAGAGGATGACCCAAGCCTTGGGACCCAGCATTCACTTGGGAGACCCAAAAGAAGCTCCTGGCTCCTGGCTTTGAATAGGCTCAGCTCCAGGCATTGTGACCACCTGGGGAGTGAACCAACAGATGAAATCTGCCTTTCCAATAAAAATATATAAATCTTTATATAAATATATAAATATAAAAATGTATTTCACTGTGAACACAAACCATTATATAAGGGTAGGACTCTTTTAAAAGCTTAACTGTGAAAATATGCTGTTGTATAAACAATGATTTCCTCTAACAATGCAATCGATGGGAGCTGAGGCAGAAGGCAGACTGTGGTTCTGCCTCAGCATTGCTGTGTGGACTGGAGCGAGGCACATGGGCATATGTAAACAGGGGTGTGGCCTGGGACAGAACAGGGCTACCCTCTGACCAGCTGGCAGCCCAGGCAGCAAGGTCCACTGAGGGGCCCTGGGCACCAGGATTACTGGCAGCCAAGGAGTGGGTTCCCAAGGAAGCTCAGGAGCAGCAGGACAGGATGGAGACCATGACTGGGAGCCAGACCCCGTGTGAGTGCTGATGGGAGCGAGGGACTCCATCTTGCTCTCTCTCCTGGGTCCCCTGAAAAATGGAACACTGGGTGCAGAGGTGGTAGACAGGAAAAAGGCTGTGCACAGCGACCTTTGTCAGGCAGCCCTTAGAACCTTCACTGTCCCGCCTGGAGACCAGTGTCTCCTTTGGGGGATAAAGGGAGTGGCGGGGGGCAGGTGGAGGGCAGGAGGAAGAATGGGGAGGAATGGGTGTGTCTTAGAACTCTAGAAATTCCAGATACAACCCTCTCCTCTCTAATCCCATCCTAAGCTCTCTAAACAGAGGGCAGAGAACTAAAAAACAAAACAAAAGCTATAAAAAACCCTTGACACTATCCATCGGAGATACTCAATCTTAGGTTTTAATTCTAGACTTAGCGAAGGTGTGAGCAGCTGGCTGGACTAGCCCTTCGGTTGATACTGGCGGGAGAACACA